AACAAACGAGAAAAAAAAAGAAAAAAAACATGTGTTCCGCCCGCAAATGTAATAGTGCGGTTTTCCCCAGCCTCGATAAGCGGAAGGGAGTTTATGGGTTGGATTACTGTGTAACAGGAGGAGGAGCCAGTGACAGTTAGACCGAACAGTTGGCTTGTCGTCGGCACTTTGGAGGCCATGTGAGATGCCGATGATAACGTCAATGGCGCTGTCTCAATTCCGGCTGGGAAAGAAAGAAAAAAAAAAGATATTTCTTATCACTTTCAATGTTCTCACCCTTGCCCCTAGATGTGTATTTCCCCATCGTGTGTCTCAGGCTCCTTTTCACCCGCCGTTGCCCTCTTTTCTTAGCTCCCAGCCGCAGGTCTCATTTCATCACCTCCCTTTTAAGTCTGGAGTTTTGGAGCTCCCCTCAATATTCTTGACTTCGCCTATCATCACACCGTGAGCACATAACGTTGGGTGACACTCATTTAGTTGTCCACGTTCCACCATCGTCGAATCAGTACTAGAGGAGAGGGTTTTCTCGGGGCTCCGAGGTTTGCTTTTGGGGGTTTCCTCACCCCTTGCTGCCGCTGGGCTCATCACGTCAGCATTTGTGATTTCCCTCGGCCCTTGGGGGCGTTGCTGCCTCTCCATCTCCACCGACGACGTGAAGTTGCTTTTTCCTTTTCTCGTCTTGGCTTCCTCCCAGACCAAACCTCCCAGGGCCACCCCCAAAATCACTAGCCTTCAGGGCGGTGGAAATGATTGCTTGCTCACTTTGGCGCTAACTCACTCGACAAAAAACGCAGCTAGAAGGCGAGTTGAGCGCCTCGATCACGAGAAAGAGAAATAAAGGATAAAAAGAGGCTAGCTCATGTACACCGAGAGGCCTGTCGTTTTGGTAGGAGAAGAAAAAAAACCTCGCCAGGCTCGCTCCCACCGGCAGGTGAGGATGATGGCTGCACGACGGCGGTAGCTCCCACGATGCCCTCTCAGCTGAATCTTGCGCTCGCCAAGCTATCGATGCTTTGCGCTGCATACATGTACCGACCGCCCTTCGCCTGCGATGGTCTCTGATTTGTCGGGGCAAAGGATAGATGAACCCAATGGCTCAAACGGTCCTCGACACTACTGGAACACACTCCCGGCCCCCGCTAGTGTTCCTGCCAACCTGTCGTCGCGATGGCTTGGGGCGAACCCTGAGTCCAATCCAATCCAATGGAAGAACAGAATGAAAAAAGTGAGGCTGCGCTCCTGCGCATTTCGCCCTCGCACGCGCGCCTGGGCAAACTGTGGGAGGGAAGGAAACTATGGGAGAGTGCTGGGGGCGTGAGGGGGTGGAAATGCAGCATAAACGTGTCAGAGGTGGCTGGGCGTACCCATTCCGCTCCATCTCGCGAGGCTTGTTAGGTGGATATGGAGAGTGCCACTCCACCGCCATCTTTGCCGGGTGTCAACGTTCCGCCTCCGAACGAAATACCGGTGAAGCGGGTGTCGGGACGGCTTCCTACGTCAGCTTGTCCGGGGGAGCCGGGTCTGGCACTTTTATGGACGGGCCGTGCAGCAGGCGGGGCCGGGGGCGACGCACGGCCTCGCTCGCGTGGTGAGATGACTCTGGGAAAGTACGTGAACGGAATGAGAAAAAAACGTGCGCCTGAGCCCCCGAGCCTTTGACTCTTTTTTTTTTTGTTTCTTTTTCCGTTCATTCCCGTCCTCTCTCCTCGGGCCGTTGTCTCGGGTATCTCGAGGCCAACTTTTCTTTCCTTTTCGCTGAGTGTGGTCTTTTTCAGAGGACAAGCCCCACCACCACCGGAATCCGAGCTAGTTTTGCGGCTCACGAATTTCGTGTGAACTGGAAACGGGCAAAACTAGTGTGTGTTGTGTGTTTTTATTCGATGCACGTCACGGCTTTTTTCATGGCCGCGAGTGAGCAGTCACTTTTTGGAGGGTTTTTTGTTTGAGGCGAGGGCTACAGGATAAGGACTCCCATTCATTTCAGCCCTCGAACATGAGTGTTCTTTTTCTTGAGTTCCTTCCCTTTTCTTTTCCGCGCTACCGAGTGCCACAGCGGACAGCACACACGCATCGAAGCGTCTACGGGAGATGCGAGTGCTTCAACCGACCACGTTAAACCAAACTCGGAAACGGGAGCGAGCAAGAAAGAATCAATGGGAGAAGAGGAAGCAAAACGAGGCGTGATCCCCCCTTTGCTCACCTCCTCGTGCTTCTTCTTTGACGGAAAGAAAGCCTTGCTCTCTCTTCTCTACCTTCTAGCGCAGAGGCAGAGTGGGACTAGCCTCGGCTTCCTCTTCCCCTCGAACTTGGTCCCGTTTCCTCCCCGTCGCACCGGCACGGCTACGCTCCGGTCTCCTGCCGTCTTGGCAACAAAGTACAAATAAGGTTCTCGGCACCTACATCAGAGTCTCGACGCAAAGTGAAAAAGGGTTGTGTGTGGTTGTTCATCCCTCTTTTTGTGCTTTCATATGCGCCCGCAGGGTGTATCTAATTTCAACCCCAGGCTCCCGGTGCCAGGGCGCGCACCGGCTTTATCTTTCTCGGGGACAGGAAGTGGAAGGGGGATGTAGAGATGGGTGTCAGGGAGGGGGGCGTGTAAAGAAAAACACAAGTCATGGCCTTTTCGGACAGGGCCAACCCGAAAACAGAAGAAGGAAAGAAAACCAAAAATTAAAGCTCCGAGGGTTTAAAGCTCGTGCAGGGTTACGATGGAAGAGAGGGATGTTTTGCGTGGGTGGTGTGGTTTTTGGTCTTTCGCTTTGGGGCGAGGCTCAAGGAATAAACGTTGGTCTTTGCGTTGCGTTGCTCCGGCTTTATGTACGACAAGTCCGGAAATGGGGGACTTGGGACTGGAGACCGGGGATGCGAGATGGGGGAGGTGAGGGGGGCGTGTGTGGGAATGGCGAACGGGGACCACACCGAACCAACAGGAACCACGATACAGCAAGGGCTTCAATGTTGTGACTCGCGCCCCCCCCCGTCTTGCAATTGGCAAATAGGAAGGGAGGAATGGAAATTGAGAAGGAGCTTGGAATGTGGAAATAAAGAGACGAGAAGAAAAAAGAAGCTTGGACGGCTGTAGGTGTAGGATCACCGGTTGCATACACTCTTTCAGTCGCCGCCACCGCCGAGGACAAGGTGAGGCGGCGGGAATGCCGGGGAGATGGGTGGATGGAAGCGTGTGTATGGGAAGGGGCACATACGTGATTGGCGACGGGACACGCGTTCTTCGAAAACTTGGAAAGCTATTCGCGAGACTAGACTCAGTTCTATCCAATACACTTGTTGGACTTGTGCGGTATTCCTGCCTCTCCAACCGGATCACGATCAGGAGGTCTTGCCGACGACGCCCCTTGCTGCCCAAAGAGGAGACGGGCAATAGTATGTGCACAGTGGGCTTGGTTCGTCCCATGAAAAAGTTCCCTGGCCGGGGGAGCTCCCCGTCCAGTAGATGGAAGGACCTGAGCAACGCCGTCGTCATAGGAAGAGGCAGAACCCACAGCGGTAAAAGAGATTGGTCCAGACTAGACATCAAACCTGCACCTGGAAAAAAAAATAAGGGCGAAGATCTTGTTATTTTCGGGCTTCATCCTTTGGGAATTCGAAAGTACGTCCGAAGGGGCGTGCGTGTGTGTGCATGGGGGTGTGCAAATTTGGACCCGGCGAAGATGGACGGACGGGACTGGGACCCCGAACGCCTTGCGACCTTGGCCGCGACTCCACAACACATGGGCTTCTTGGCCCCGACCGACCCGCCGAGTCTTCGGGGTTCCCCATCTCCTCGGTTCCCCTACCGCTGCCGTCACAGCTGCCCCGTCTGAACCGGAGGACCATATTACTCTGTCTTTGTTTGCTTGGAGAAACCAGGTTCAGCTCATGCGGCTCGGTCCCCAACCGCGAACCCGGTGTGGAGGAGGGGGCAAGGGATCAAAAGCAAAGGCGTCAGTTTGCATGACGCCTGCTTCTGCTTTCGAAACCACCACCCCTTCCAAAAATATTCATATTCTTACCGAGGTAGATGTTCCGAAGCTATGTATAAGAGAGCAGGAAAAAAAAAGGGGGGCGTGATGCCTTCTCGTGTAACGGTTGGGGGTAGGAACACGAAGGAATGAGGTGGTGATTTTCTCTTTTGCAAGCCTCAAGATCCTTCCATGCCCCGTGTCCCGGCGTTATCTAACCCTTCCACGCTTGTCCGGCGTTATCGAGCGATCGCCATCACATAGATCCGGGTCTTCCGTCCGCGGGTCGCATCTACGCCCCCTCCTCTTCGTCTTCCCTCCCCGGGCGGCGCAAGGAACGAGCGCGCGGCAGAGCATCTCGGGGGACCCAAAAGAAAATGACAAGTGGTGCCGGGTTCTCTTCCCAGGGGAACAAAAAAAGGCGGCCCCAGAAGTTGGAAATGAAAGTGGCTGGTTGATGGAAGCAAACAACATTTCAACATCAGATCATTTCACCCGGAGGAAAGCGGGAATAAGACAGAAAAAGGAGGAGAACGGGCCATATGATGCTACCCCTTCTCCAACCGAGGGGATACGCGCAACGAAGAATAAAAAGAGCCAGGGGAGGGCGTGTTAATTGTCTCTCTCTTCTATTTTCAATGACGACCGTTGCACTACTACCGGGGTTCGTTCTTCTCCTTCTTCCACCCTCCAAACGCCGTTACATCGGACCAGGCTGGCGGTTGCGCCTACCAAACCTCCACAGCCTTGTCCGGTTATTTGTCGCCGGAGCTAAAATAACATCTCCGTGGCCTGGACTTATAACCGCAAAAAGAAGGAAAGAAAAGAAAGTCACAGGGGAAAAAAAAAAAGGAGAAGCAGAGCAAGCCAAGGCCTGCACACCCTTAGGTACATGCAGTATTAGCCGCTACCCCCTTGAGAAAAGGCCGCTCGTTACACAGAGATCCACCCTTGCCAAACGCAACAGGGTATAAGAGTAAAATGACAAGGGGGAGAGAGTTGGGGGGCGTGGAGAAAGAGTTTACAAACAATGGCCTTGATTCATTCTCTTTTCCTCAGCCTTCCCCGTAGCCTCGCCCACCTGCGCCTGCGCCGGGCCTTGGCCAAGGATGTAATCTCCCCCGAAACACCTTGTAGACGCCGTACAATCCTCGGACGGGCCAGAGATTCCAGATCCTCTCTTTTATGGACGGTGCCGAGGGGGGCCGCGCACCGTCGCGCGCCGCGCCCCGACTTTGTCGTATACGCTGGGGAGGTGCGAGGCGCGGTATTTTTCCGCAGGGCCTCGTAGGCCGCGCGGTCGTAGTTGGCCCAGAACTCGTCCTCGGTGTAGTACGTCTGCGCGTACAGGCACTTGCGGCCGCCGAGCTCGGCGAGCTTGGCCTCGAGCAGGCGGTTCAGGCGCGCGGCCTCGGCGGGGTCGAAGGAGAGAGGGCCCCAGACGCCAAAGTTGATGACTTCGGGCGAGGCCGGGTTCCAAAAGGTGGAGAGGTATCTGCGCTCGTCATCGCTGTCGTCATTCCCGTTGTTACCGTTGCCGTCGCCGTCGATGCCGTCGGCCGAGGCGGGGAGGGCGGGGGCACGCGCAGGGGCAGAGCCAGAGGGGTAGATGCCGTAGGTGTCGGCGACCCAGCGGTGGAACTCGACGGAGCGGTCAAAGGGCACGGCGACGTCCTGGGTGAGGTAGAAGTCGGCGAGGCCGCTCTTGTGCAGGGCGCTGTACATGACGCGGGTGTGGAGGAGGGGATCGAGGAGGCGGCGGGTGATGCGGTTGAAGGGCGTGAGAAAGTACCGGAACGCGTATCGGCCGGTCCAGAAGGCACCTCGGTCGTAGCGGAAGTAGTAGTCTGCGAGGGGGATGTAATCCACCACCACCGTTGTTGCTGTCGCCGGGACCGCGCGGGTGCTATCGTCGCCGACATCGTCACCACTCGCGCGGCGGCGATGGGAGGTCTCGTTGGCCTTGCTTAGATCCTTGGCCACCTCCTCAGCACGGAGATAGAACCACGGATCTCCCGGCCGCGTGAACCGGCGGACCGTCTGCCCCTCAGGCACCGGCCCATCCACCATCCGACCGGCGCAAGTCACCGTGACGTCCCCGGCAAAGGTAATGGCGTCCACGAACTCGTTGTCCTCCTTGCCCGTCTCCTCCCGCAGCTTCGCCACGGCGTCCTCGAAGCTCCGCGAGAGGTGGTACTCGAGCCGCACGAGCTCCCTAGCGGGAACCAACCGAATCCCCAAAAGCGTAATCACGCCGAGCGTCCCAAACGCCGACGCCGCGCCGCGAAACAAGTCCGGCCGCTCGCTCGCCGACGCGCGCGTGACCTCGCCGTCGGCCAGGACGATTTCGATCCACGCCACGGTGGCTTCAAAGGGTCCGTGGCGAAAGGCTGCTCTCGCCGGACGTTCCGGAGAAGCCGCCGCCGGCCGTGATGCCGGGGAACTCCATGACCACGGGCGGGGTGAGGCCGTGCGGCGCGGTGGCGCGCACGAGCTGGTCCATGGGCACGTTGGGCTCGACCGTGGCGATGCGGGTGGCTGCGTCGACGGAGAGCACGGCGTCGAGGCGCGAGGTGTCGACCGTGTTGGCGCGTGTTTTGCCCGAGGGCCGCGTGCTGTTGGTGGAGCCGTGGTAGACGCGGAACGGGGTGCGGGTCTTGTAGAACCGGGCCACGGCGGCGGAGATGGCCGATACTTCCGACGCGTGGCGCTCCATGGTTTTGGAGAAGGAGGCGGGAGTGATTGGGTAGCCTTTTTTTTTTTTTTCGCTTTAGGTTTTGCGGAATGGAAAATGGAAAAGGAAGTGAAAATCAATTAGGATGACGGGGAGGATCAGCGACGGAAAGGAACATTGAAAACGGTGATGGCTGACAGGTCGAACGCGTAATGGCCGTCCATGTGCGTGAGATTGGAATTTGCAAAGTGGAGCTCTGTCTGCCAAGATGGACGATGATGTAATAAAGCTCTTGCAGGAGAAAAAGAGCAAGACGGAAAAGCCAGCGATTGTGAGACACGCGCGCATGCAAAGATTTGAAGATTTGGTCGAGAAATAAGGGCAATAAGGAAGCGGTGTTGGGGTCTGGGTCATTGTGTCGGCTTGAGCGCAAGTTTTTGGGGTTCAATGTGAGGTGTAATTGAACGTTCCAAGGTTGGAACAAAAACCACTAAAAAAGGCATGGAAAGACACCGCAACGATGAACGAGTTCAACGAGTTGGAATGACAGAGACCTTTTTTTAATCCATTTCCTTTCAAATAGAGAAAGAAAATCATCGACAAGAAGCAGGGGTGCTGCTCACATTCCAATCTTCTCCTCACGGTACACTGAATAACACGGCTGTAGCATTGATTCTTCAAGTCAGCCGGCGTACGAATCGATGGATACATGTAGCAAATGCTGTACAAGTTGCACGATGCCAAAAATGCAATGTTTATGAGTGATATTACGGATCGCCCGTGGCAGGCGCCTTGCTATACATTTCCGTTGCAAAGACAGCATCAATGGATCAACCTGACGCTTCTCTTTGCTGTTTTACCCTACCCAACTCTCACAAAACTCCTCGCTCCATGCCCATCTCGACTTTTTCCCTCTGCCCCCTCCCCCTTCCAAAAGAAAACTCGATAAAAGTACATATTCTATCTAGTATACATGGTACATAGAGCCAGTCATATCCCCCACCGTAATCTTTTGTTCATACATATTCCTTGAGCATCTGCGCCAACCCGTCGTGGCCCCGTCTCTCCGCCAGATCCACCGGCGTCAGACCATTAGTATCCCTCGAATCGGCCGCCACATCCCCGCGGCCGAGCAAGATCCGCGCCACCTCCTCGTGGCCCCCAAGGCCGCGGCCGACAGCGCCGTGTGGCCGCTCCCGTCCCGTACGTCGGCGCGGACGTCGGGCCGGGCCAGTAACCCGCGCACGATGGGCTGGTGGCCCTGTCGCGCGGCGAGAAACAGCGGGGTCTGTCCTAGCGCGTCCACGGCGTTGATGTCGACGCCGGGCTGCTCGAGCAAGAGGCTCACGACGGTCGCGTGGCCGGCCGAGGCGGCGAGGGCGAGGGGCGTTCGTCTCCACTCGTCCGGCGAGTCTGGGTCGATGCCGGGTTGCGCGAGCAAAGCCCTGACGACGGCTTCGTGGCCGCCCTCGGCGGCGTGGGCTAGGCTGGCGTGACGGCCCTGGCTGGCGGGCATCGCGGCAGCGCCCAGGAGCTACCGCGCGCGATCAGGAGCGTGACGATCCTCTCGTGTCCCGCACGAGCGGCGCAGGCGAGCGGTGTCTGCCCGTAGCTGTCCGGGAGGTCGACGTCGACGTCCGTCCGGCTCAGCAGCAGGCCCACGACGCCCTCGTTGCCGGCGGAGCTCGCATACCAGAGCGGGGTGCATCCGTGCTTGTCCCGCGCGTTGGGGTCGACGGATTTCTGGCCGAGCAGGAGGGCCACCACCTCGTCGTGGCCGTTTTGCGCGGCGATGGATAGCGGGTCTGGCCGTAGCGCTCGGCGGAGTCGGCCATCACGCCTGGGAGGCCGGCTAAGAAGATGGAGACGGTGGAGGCATGGCCGGCTTCCGCGGCGAGCCAGAGGGGGTCTGGTCGTCGTACTCGGGGTAGGACGCTTGGGATGGGGTTTCTTCGAGGAGGCGGCGGACGGTGGCGTTGTCGCCCTGCTGGGCGGCGATGGACAGGGCGGACCGGCTGAGAGGAGTGCCAAGCGTGGGGGATTCGGGAGGTTCCATCATGGTAAGGAAGCTAGTCTGTGGGGATGTCGGGAGGTGCCGGTTGCATGTCTTACAAGCCGGAGGGAGATGGGCGTGACTGGACTGGAACCAGGATCAATGGGAGTGCTCAGGGTCCGGGGAGGAGGGGTTTTGGACGGGGCCTAGGGAAGCTAGGAAGGCTAGTCAAAACGCCGGCTTTGTCGATAATAACGGGGCCCACCTAAAGGAATGACGAGAAGGGAAAAGAAGGTTAAAAAAGGAATGAATAGAAAACACAAGGGAACAAGACAACGAAAAATCAAGGATGGCCGGAGAAGATATTACGGAAGAAGGAGAAGAGGGAGAAGAATAATAATGAAAACCAAAGCAAAAACAAGAACAAAGTGACTGAAAAAAAGCACAGATGGAAATGAAACAAAAGAAGCTGGCTCGTGGAGCTTGGATACGGGAAGGCAATCCGAAGAGCCCCTCGAGCTGACCAGTCACGGCTCCGCAAATCTGCAGAAGGAGAATGAAGGGGCCAGCTCCAACGTATCAAATATCAAAACAGGAGGGGACACACGATCCTTAGCTATCAATAGCCTGGACCCTCCCCAAGCACAACATCAAATTGAGCCCACAAACCACGCTAAACGGGAAGGGCTGACGTGACGGGCAGGGAGCCTTCCTCTCTGCTTCCCTTGCTTGATCAAGATGAAAAAGACGGAGCTTTTCCATTCCCTCCCCCTGGAAATGTGGTGCCAAGACCGCCGTTCGTTTGGGGGCGACTCCGTAGTGTCTCCAAGTGCTGCAGCCCTACGGTACTAGGCCGCGCTGCGCCGGGGAGCAACAGGACAGGAGAAAAAAAATGGTCCATTTGGTGTAGGATGAGCAAGGCGTCGCGAGGAAGAGACGATGGCGGAAAGATGATAACAAAAGGAGACGAAAATAACGGTCGGCCGAGAGCCACGCTATAGTTCTCCGGGGAAAAAAAGAAGGGGACAAAACGGGCGCTCAGCCGTCGCTCAGGGAGCAAATCCCCGAGAGTTCAGCCAAGGGAAAAGGATCCATCAATGATCCATCGCTGCAGGTCCTGCGTTCTGGAAGTATTCCATCCTGTCAAGTTCCCTGGTCGAGGCCGTGCGGGATGGCTGCGGCTAGGAATGCATCAATTGAGTCTCGAAGTGTTTGTTTGGGCGGTAGATCAAGCAAAAAGACAGAGGAACACCAATGGATCCTTGCCCGTCGTTGTCAGAGCGCATGTTGGGTGGCAGAGCGAAGAAGGGACGTGTTCCACTCAGGAATGCAACGGCGGCATCGCCATCTTGTTTCCGGCCTCTCTCTCTCCCTCGCGTGAAGTATACATGTGGTAATTCTTTGCAGCTGAGAGTGGAGGCCGAGCCACATCCCATCTTTTGTTTTTCCCTGCCTCCTTCTTTTTGTTCTCAGTTCCCACGTTCCATCTTGCCTGCACCTCATCCCTCCGCTGGGAGGGGCTCGACCGGCTGTGGCGGGCCCGCCCGTTTGACTGGAACCACAACCCCGCTGGCGTGTGCCTCCCATTTGCCATTTGCCCTTTGCCCTTTGCACTTTGCACTTTACACTTTGCTGTGCTTCCAAAGTCTGGAAGCGAGGAGTTTTCGCTGATGCTGGTCATAGGCGTTCGAAACGCCGGGGATCAGACGGGACGAGGAGGAATTCCATATACAGAGCGTCGAGGCCTGAAACGACAACATGACGTGAGATGGCTTGCCAAGTGGCTCGAGTTGGCGGCGAAGGCTGCGCGACGGAGCCAGGCTCCATGGGACGCTTCTTTTCAGCGCGTAGGGACCTTGGGATCACTGATCAATGCCTCTCTCCCTTCAGACCTAATGGATTGATCCATCGATGTTTGGCATTGAGAAGAATCAAGGCACCGGGGCAACTTGCATTGATCGAGGCTTTCTCTACTGAGAGAAGCACTTGCCCAAAACGGCCCACAGAGGAAAATTCACCTCTCTTCCTTCGCTCCTTCTTCCTTTTCTCCGTCTTCATTTTTTTACTAGTGCATATGAATAGAGAAGATGAACAATTACACACGTCGAGCCCCCATTCTTGTTCTAAAAACATCTTGTCAAATCGAAAAGGCAACACACGTTTAGTTTCAGTCCCGCAGTTGTGTGGTCCTTAATTACTCGAGGGGCTCTTTCGGTGCTTCAAATCCCCCGCCATCCCCATTGGTCTGTCCCTGTCGAGGGGCTCTTTCCCGGGAGAGCTTGTGCAAGAATATTGGCACTAAAATTAATCCTTTCCAGGTGGAGATATGCTATGCCTAGCTCGTGTCGTGATTATGCATCACTTGCTCAAGGGGAAGTGTGGGTGGTCGGGCCGCCCCTGCTTCTTCCGTTCCTGTGTAGCACTCTGGGGAGCAGGTCCTTCATCAGCCACAAAAGCTTCTTTTCGGCGCCACACCTCTCCCATGAGACCAAGGCCCATGTCAGTGGCTGGAGCTGTGTCCCAACGTCTCGACCCTTGTTTCTCCGGCCCAAGGGTCTCAGAGTGTTCCAAATGCGACACTCCGGACGAGGGACAATTCATGCGGCTGCCAAAAACCCTCTCCTCAAACCCCGTCAGGTCTGGCTTCGATTTTTCCCGCGACACCCTTCCCGAACAAAGAACTATTCAATCCTCAGCAGCTAGGGAGATGCTTCCACGGCCATCATGGATTTTGTAAGGAAACTAATTTCCCCCCCCCTTCTCCCTCTCTATCTCTCGCCCAGCCCGTGGGCTTTTGCATTTTCAACATGCGGCTCCTTCTGGCACCTCGAGCTCGCTGCTGCGGTGCCGTGGCGACCTGACGATTTTGGCTGCAAGGCTGACAATATGTGGGAACTCTAGTGGTCGCGCCTCCTAAGCCATACCTCCCTATCGTCGAATACCTCGCGAGAAACTGCCGCCAGAGACCCCGCCAAACGATTGCATCGATTCGAACGGGAATATGGCCAGCTTTTGGTATGTCCATCGTTCTTTCCGTCTTATTTCTTCCTTGCCTTATTTTGGTGTGGGAAGCTGCTTCCTTTGGATTTTTTTCCTTCTTCTTCTTCTTCTTGAACTCTCCCTCTCTCCTATCTCCCTACACGCGGGACTTCACACGCTCCTCGGCTGTACGTTGTGCTAATACCTCGGCTCTCTCCACCTTGTTTTTTTAGCAAATATGGCGCAACTCGTCGAATCTATCCCGCGACTTCGAGGCGGCCGAGAAGCTCGAGATCCGGCTTCACGAGCTCACGACAATCCTGAGCGACGAGAGCCGCCGTCCACTGCCCCACCCGTGCATCCAGTTCGCCTCGATCAAGCAAATCTACGTGCCCATCGCCAAGGTCGCGACGACTTCGTACAATGAGTGGATCATCAAGGAAGCCGTGCACTTTTTCGCGACCCTGATCGAGAGCGAGGAGGAGGCGTTTGTGGAGAACCACAACTTCTCGTCGAGCCTGACCACCCTGCTGGTGCGGATCACGGGCCAGAACAGCGTCAGGCTCGGCCGGGATACCGAGGTCAAGGTGGTGGAGCTCGCGTTCAATATCACGACCAAGATGCGGCTGCAGCCGCACATACTTGACGTGTGGTTCCGGAGTACGCAGCAGCACCATCACCACCAAGCCCAACAAGGGCTCGATGACCGTGAGCGGTTCGCGGGCAAGACGCAGAAGCAGGACTTCCCTTGTTCTACATACTCATGGACTACATCCAGCACGAGGGCCGCGTGGGCGACTTTGCCCGGACGGGCCTCCTCTACATCATCGAGACGGCGTCGAGCTCGGTCGCGCTGGAGCAGTGGATCGTGGAGAGCGATCTCTCGACCCTCATGGCCACGGGCCTGGGCGCCCTGTACAGCCAGCTGAGCAGGAAGCTCGTCATCGACCACCTCCCGCACGAGCTGCCCCCATCCTCGCCCTCTCCGACTACCAGCACCCGACGTCCAACTACGAGATTGTGGCGTCGTGCGCGCCCGAGTTTCAGGCGCACCTCGATACTTTTCTCTCGCACTTGCTGTTTTGGCAGGACGTGCTGAACCACTGCCGGTCCGTCGAGGTCAAGTCAACCTTGCTCGAGCACTTTCAAGTTATTTTCCTTCAACAGCTTTTGTACGTTGCCAGAGAAAGCCCCCTCTTTCAGCATGTTACAAAGACTGGCACATGAACTAACTCCCGCTACCAGATACCCCTCGCTTCTAGAATCCTCCGACATTGACGGCGGCTCGTCGGTCGCCGTCATCACCTATCTCCGACGAATCCTCGAGTCACTCGACCACCCCGACATGATCAATCTCATCCTCCATTACCTCCTCGCTCTCCCCGACGCAGACACATCGCGGACGCCGGCCGGCGAGAGCACGTCCGTCAGCGCCGCTCGCAAGCGCAAGTCGATGGACCTAGCCACAATGCTGGCTGAGAAGCAAGATCCGTGGGACCCGCTGCTCTTCAACTTGGTGGACCTTGCGCTGGCGTGCCTGCGCTCGCACAGCCAGCAGACGATACACGTGACGCTGCAGCTCATCTCGTCCATCCTGAAGCGGCACCACCGGTACGCCGTGCTCACGCTCCTGCGGACGGAGAGCCTGCACGCGCCGGCATCGACGCACCGGACGAGCGGCGCGCACGACCAAGAGGTCGAGTACCTCATGACGCTGGCCGGGTCGATCGGGGGCCAGGACAATTTCGACGAGGTGTACGAAAACGTGCTGCGGGACGCCATGACGCGGCTCGAGGCCCACTCGTGCTCCCTCAAGCTCGTGGCGCCCAAGGTGTCGACGGCCAACCACGACTTGCCGGCGATCCCGGATAGCTTGCCGGGGGCGCCGCCCGACGTCAGCACCCACACCCTGCAGCCCGACGACCCTTTGCTCGTGACGCTGCTCGACATCCTCGAGACCTTTTTCGTCAACCCCGTCGATACGAACCTGTCGGTCACGGAAACGCTGACCGACCTGGCCATCTGCGGGTATATGGGCGTGGAGGGTTGGCTCGTGCGGCATCCCAAGCACTACAGCTACGAGGACGAGGACGACGAGGCCGAGGCGGAGGAGACGGCGTTGGCGCTCGCTGCAAGCAGCGCCGGCCCCGAGTCGCCCGAGTACGAGGTCGCGCAGCGGCTCCTGGCCCAGCGCCGGTGCCGGAGGCGGCCGAGGTGGGTGGCGTCGAGCCTTCCCCGGCTCCTGACGGTCCTGAAGAAGCTGTCGGAGCAGCTGGCGGGCTACCGCGAGACGATACCCCGGTTCGACGATTTGCTCCAGCAACGGCGCGAGGCCTTCCAAACGGCGGATGCGGCGCCCGTGCTCCCGTTCCACACGCCGCAGCAGCCGCAGCCACAGCCACAGTCACAGCAGCAACGGAGAGGTGACAGCCAAGGGCCCGGCTCGTACAACACGCCGGATAGGGGCAGCATGGACGACCCGCGGGGCGACTCGCCCGCGCGACCGTCGGGGCTCGAAGGGTTCGCGCAAAGGCTTTTGTCAGAGCTCGGGACGCCCTCGAGAACGGGCAGTCCGCGTGGCCGAAAAGACGGCAGGGCCGGCGGAGCAGGGATAGGTGCCGGGGCGACTGCGACTGCGACGACGACGACGACAACGACGTCATCGGGCCACGGCCTCTCGGGGGTTACGGACTGGGCACGCCGACGATGACGCCGACAAAGGCCCCGGGTCAGGTGCGGCGCCGAGGGAGTTCCCGCTCAACTACGACAGTCCATCGCGCAGCGGAGCGGTAGCGCCAGGAGCAGCCCGGGATGACGCCGGCGGGCGGGATCCGACGGTGGCGAGTCAGATGGCGGCGTTTGCGGCCATTGACCAGAGCATCCTGGCGCGGCGGGTCGGGCTGCCGGGGAGGACGGCGGGGAGGACGGGGTGCCGTTTAACCTCGGCAAGGCGGTACAGGAACAAGGGTCAGGGCCAGGGCAGCAGCCTGAAGCGGGCGGTGCCGGAAAGCAAAAGGGGGAACGAGGACAAGAAGAAGAAGAAGAAGAGACGACGGGAGAGAGCGGCGAGGATGATGAGATGGCGGAGGCGTTTACGCCGCTGGAGGATTCGATGGTGTCGGTGTCGCACGTGCTCACCAATGCGCTGATTTTGCAGTCGTTTTTGATGGAGTTGGCGGGGATCGTGCAGGTGAGGGCGGGGCTTTTCAACGAAGTGCGCTTCGTGTAGAAAGAGAGGCAGTCTTTTTTGTTTCCCCTTTTCATGAAAGACTTGAAAGGGAGACAGGTCACTGCTACGGACTCGAGGGACAAGCGTAGAGCGCCGGAGCACGCACGCACGTCCGGGAAAGCATCTAGATGGAGGGCACGCATGGTTACGGCTTGTATGCAAGGCGCCGGGCTTATTACAAAGAGAGTGGCTTTTTTATTCCTTTACGCCCTTCTTTTTCCGGCTCTTCATCTTTTTCTCTTTTTTTTTCTCATTATTTCTTTCTTTATATCTCCAAATACCTGTGGTGCCTGGTGAGCGAGGCGCAGTTCTGCATACGTTTTACTCATTTTGTAATTACGCTTTCGACCCTTTTGATGGCTTGGTTTTGCTCCTTGGAATTGATTCAGATGGCCTGTCTTGGCTGGCCTCCTCCCCTTCCCTCTCTGGTCCCTCGTCAGAGTTCAATATACTGAAGGCTGTTCCTTGTGTTCCTTGTTTTATTTTTCCTGGAAGAGGGGAGCGGGGAACTCAGATGAAGTCTAGTTACGTTGCATCGCATTCGTTTTTGTCGGTTCAATGTGTTCTGGTCCCTGATTTATCGTTTCAAGCGTACGGCTCTTCGCGTCGTTCGACTGCGTGCATCGCGGAGATGGTGCTTGTTGCGTTGCGCTGTTCTCTGAGGATGCGTGCTTTTCACCTGACAATAGACGCGGTGGCGACGGAGCATCGGGGCCGACTGGCGAAGACTGGAGCTCTTCTAAAAAGCAACGGAATCGAGCTGTCGGGGGGCCTCAATGACGTCCTCCAAGACCACTAGCGCGGGAACCAAATGCCGGGCGTTCCGCGACCCGGACGGAACGGTCCCCGGAACCCCCTTGGCTTACCAGGCATGGTTGAAATGATGAGGAAAGAAAAGACATGGTGATAGCGGGGGAGAACACAAGGTTTGACGGCTTCCTTTTGCGTCCGTCTTTCCCCTTTTTCTTGGATATATTGAATACGAGGGTTGGCTCCGTCGGACGGGATCGATGGGATCGTGCATGCAGGTAGAAAGTGTGAGATTTGCGATGCTGTGGGTACTGGTGTTCGTCGTCTCACGCTCGCCCGGAAATCGAGACGAAGAGATAGATTGAACGAGGCTGGGCAGCAAGCGAGCTGCGCAAGTAAAGGCCTTGTTCTCGTTGCCCCTTGAAATCGGGCTCGCAGCACTCTAAGACCTCTAGTAATTGGATTAACGGGGCGGTGCAGCCCAGAGGACGAGCTACTTTATTTGAAGCAATTTGCAGAGCCGTGCACTGGAACAATCCAACGTTACAGCTTCTTCTTTCATGTTCTGTCACCTCATTTTACTAAGGAACGGGCAACGAGAAGCTGGAATAAGCAGCATATCTCGTTTTTCTGTCTCTCTTTTCTTCCTTTTCTTTGCCGCTGGCACGACGGTACCTGCAAAGCGATGTCTCGGCATGGCCGGGCGGGTCCGTTGATGTTTGGACGACGAGACGAGACGTCAAAGGCGAGCTCACGACATGACATCGGAAAGAAGAAGAGAGGATCAGGGGAGACGAGACGACCAAGACTTTCAATCCTACTGCACTCCCTTATGTCTTGGGCCCTTTTTTCTTTTCGTTTATCGTAATTTGGGGCGAGCGTGAGACGCCTATGGCAAGTGATCGGCGCCCAGAGGTCACTGGAAAGAAATAACGAAAGAGCAAGTGAATGGCCGAGAAGCCTCGGAGGAACTTTCAGACATTCGGCCCCGGATAGGTAGCTCGAACGAGATGTGGGGAAGGGAGGAGGTAACAGAAGACTTGGACGCAAAAGGCAGATCATGTCAGACGAGCCGGCACACCGACCCGGTCGAAAAGCGTCGGTCTCTTGACCCAGCTGGGGCCTAGAAAGAAAAAAAAAAGAATGAAGGAAACCGATGGTTCCATCCCACTATTTCGCCTACGTTGATTCAGTTTTGGATGGCAGGTTGCCCTCCCCCTCCTCTCCCGGGCCCATTCGCCAGTTGCAGCTCTGGACGGCGTATCTCGAATACGAGCTTTCATTTGTTTTCCCTGTTGGCTTTTGTTCTCTCTTCGGTAACGAAGAGACCACCTCCCGCCGTAAGGAGGGTTCGGGCGGTACGGGGAGGAAAGAAGCCTGGTTCAAGGTACCGGGCACAAGGCGCTTTTTTTAGCCGAGCTATGGTCTAGCGCCAGCGACCGTCTCTTGTCGTTGTCGTGTCAGGGCTAGGACCCGGAGGCCGCTGTCTGCCATTTTTCGAGGTGGCTCCTCACACATCTCATGATGGAGGGGCGGGGGATAGTTGGGTGATTGAACGGTGACGATGGAATTCTCGAGGCCAAGAGACTGTCTCGTCGCTGTAAGAGTTCCCCGCGAGACTAGGGTTCCCACTTAGCGCGAGGTGTTGATTCCCCAAAGGAAAAAAGGATTGAAGGAGAGCGGCCGCGGGAGGAGTGAGAGGAGCGCGTACCGCACCACGTAGGCGCAAAAGTGCAATCTACGTTTGGAGGTCTTCTTTTCCTCTTGCATGTGGCAGGACGTAGATTCCCTCGTTGGTTTTTCGGCGGCTCTTCCCCTTGGCTCTCATCCCATTGACCAATATTAAAGTCTGTTTTATTGTTTTTGTCTCTTGCCCAAACAGACGCGCGCTGACGTCGATGGTGTTGTCCCTTTTTTCTTTTTTCCCTTTCTTCTTTCTTTTTAACCCCCTCTTTTGTTTTCTTTTCTTTTCTTCCACTACGTAGGCGTTCGGTTATACGAGGTTTGGGCCCGGATGAGGTCGTCGGTTGTATGAGGTCAGCTGCGGACCATCTCAAAGGGAACGTTCGCTGTGGTGGGTGGGGTTGGTGATGATGTCGTCGAAACTTGGAGATCGGCTAACATGATTTCGTCAAACTATATAAGAGCTGGGGAGCACCCCCTCTGCACCCAAACCTTTATTCTCGAGTTTCTTAGCAGGCATCACAAGTCAGCACTCCAGATACAGTCTTCTTCTCTTTTCCATCTTATCCAAGACAGCAACCATCCACTTATCCCATCTATAGCCAATCCTCCCACCATGCCGCGTTCAACCTTGTATGCCGGCCTTTTCGCCCTCTTGGGTCTTGCCACGGCCCAAGACTTTGACAATGACTGCGGAGGAGTTGCCTATGACCCTGAAAACGTAAGATCCCCGTAGAGACCCCCGTTTGCTCTCTCCCCTGGCCTTCTTTCCGTTTTTGCTCGCTTCTCCATGATCTTTCCTCGTCATCGGGCACCGGCTGCATAAATGCTTCTTTCTCTCCCATGACCAAACGACTAACCCAAAAACACCCCACAGTACGTCTGCCACAACGACAACTTCCTCTGCCCCATCGTCGCCGGCGAGCCCCTCAGCTACTGCAACGGCGCCTGCTACAGCACCTTCATGTACACCTGCACCGACGGCGCGCTCTCCCAGCTCGCCCGCCACGAGGGCGCCTTCACGCTCACGGTATCGAACCCGGCCATCGAAGCCGACGGGTGGCCGGTGACGGCGTGCGGGCAGCACCTGTGGGTAGGCGGCGAGACGTGCTCGTACTGCCCCGCCGAGGTGGTGGGCGAGGAGAATTGCCCGCCCGGCAACGTGACGGCGCTGTACGCCCCAGCGGCCTGGCCACCGTCGTGCCCGGCGGCCAGCAGTACTACCTTGACCCGGAGTGGTTCGTCGGCTACACCCAGGCCCACTCGGCGTACGTGCCCCCGGCAGCACCGTCGGCGGGTTCGTCGCCTTCGAGGACGGCGGGTTCGTCAACGTCAACGAGGGCGCCGTGGGCTGGGCGACGTGCTACCCCACGGCGTCGGGGGCGGCGGCGGCAAGTGGACGCTCTGGTCGAGGAACGCGTCGTCGGCGGCGCTGGGGAAGGGTGTTTTGCGGTGAATTTGAAGGTTACGCCGGCGGAGGGCGGGGCGGCGTGGCAGTATTCTTGAGCGATGGAGCAGACAAGTGAGTCTTGACTGTTGTGGGAGGAAGAGAGACGAGGTGTTTTTCGAATTACACAGACGCAGAGACGCGTACGCACACGCACACGCACACGCACACGCACACGCGGATATCCACGAAGAAAGAGGAGAGGATGATGGGAATCTAGTAATTGCTAATGGATATTTACGGTTGGGAATAACGCTCCCGAGAAAGACTGCAGGGTAGAACAGAGGCAAACTCATGAGGCGGTTCTCAACTCTCTCGTTGGAGAGAGATATCCCCGTTCCTGTCCTTCATTGTTGATTTCTGTCAGTACAGGACACCCTCCTTTGAACTGAAAGGACAGGTCAGGTTTAGCCACAATGACGGGCTGCGGCGGCGTGAGATCAAAGGGGGCCTACGGGCCTTCAGCTTCAAGTTGATTAATCAAGTAACAAGGAAGAAAAAAGTTGAATAACACCATGACTCGCGTGCCACCACATCGCGCAATGTCTTACCCATGTACCGTCGATGGGGGAGCTGAAGTGAGGAGCCGGTGGGAGATTCAGCCTCAGATATGCTTCATCGAAGAAAACGAAACAAGTACGCGTGAGATTGATTCCCGCTGGTGATACTAGGGGAAACACCGGCGTCATGCCGTGCCACCTCCAACGCCATACCCATCGTGGCGCGGGAGGGATATAAGAAATGGAACAACTCATTTTTATTTGGGGGCTTTTCTTTCGCACTGCTAACCCTAAATCGACGTTGGAAGCACAATGAAGGAAGAAAATCGGGGGCCAAAGAGAGGAGAAAGACAGAGAGAGAACTGCGGAGAGGTGACATCGCTGCGGAAGGGCGCCCGCAACTTCGGGGGTTGTCGAGTTTTTATGAAATACAATGTCAAGATACGGGTGGGGAGTTACTCGGTCTCCCTTCTCCTGCAAAGGGAGGGAAAGACGCAAAGGATACCAACCTTGGCCGATCTACGAAGCCCCGGAATGGTACGGAGATAGCAGGAACGACATCGCCGCCTTGGGTGTAACGTCTAGGCCTGCTCGTCATCGCACCGAAGACCTGATATGGCCCATGCTCGGGGCATTGTAGCCCTGGTGCCTATTTGCGTAATATCGCCAGCCATCAGCTCGAAAAGCAAAGAGATGGATCTTCGTACTGGTTATCGAAGAGGCAGCCACCTCGAGCTCACCGTCTCATGATAAAACACTAAAATTCCGTTCCTTTGTCTTGCTCGCCGCTTCTAAACCCCCTGCAAGACGAGCGTGTCTTCATCTGCTTCGGTAGCGTCATACACCGGGCATCCCTTGCAGTGGACGCATCATCCCTTTGGGAGGGTTATATCTCTTTTGTGTACTAGGAGATGGCGTGCCTATGCTAGCACGACGTCTGGCAGTAACTGGAAATGTTTCGCCGTACGTGAAGGGCCTAATGGAATCCGTTAGCAAACATAGGCCCGGTGCCGAAGTGGGGGCCACAAGGCCATCCGAATTCGATTAGTATGTGATGGTCCCACCAAATTAAAGACCTAGCAACATGAGATAAGGGTGAAGATGTTGACTGTGTCTATGTGCGTCTTTGAGGCACCCACCACTTAGTCCCAGTCCAAGCCGGCTTTGAATATATCCTCGAATCAACTGTAGCCATGGAGGCAGGGAGAGGGGATCGGCCAAGGAAAGGCAAGGGAAGAAAAGCAACCGGGGCTAGGCTACCGGCCGATAGCGGGCTCGGAGGGGGCGGAAAAAGCTTGCAGGTGCCGGGTTGCATCCGTGGAGTCGGGCTGCTTACGGGAGGGCTCGGGGTTGCATCCATAGAGGCGGACACATGGAAGAGGGGAGTAGGAGATGAAGATACTTCGTCAATGGGGATACGTGGTGCACCACACAGGATCCAGAGACAGTATCTCTCTACCTATTCTCTTTTACGATGTATGCTTCCTTTGGCCCATTCACTTCATCGCCCTGAGTGGTCGCCATTCTCCTCACAGAGTCGGCAAATTCCATCTTGCAGAAATTGTAAACCGACGAAAGAAACGAGGAAGATCAAAGTGACAAGTCTCCGACACTATAAGATATGCAGGAGGATATATACAGTCGTAGAAAGCCGGGTAGACGACTCCTTTTGCATGGAGGGAGCCGAGGCTGCATCCGTATGGTTGACGTTTACATCAGGAAGCGAGGCCGCATAGGCAATATATCCAATATTTACAGTCTGCTTCGGACAAATGCGATGTGACTATGGGTGCGGAATTAAGGGAGAAGCACTCCCCTCAAGACAGTGCAAGTCTTGACCTAGCACGAGCAGCTTTGCTCGTTCCCCGCTTGAAGGACCATGATATGCGAGGGATCGACCGAGCGGAAGTGATCAACGTGTAAGTCGTGCATGCAGCGCATGTCCGCGCCGCGTGTACGTAGAAGAAGGGAAGAAGAGAGAGGGTTCAAAGTTGATGGCCGAGACAAAGACAAGCAGCTCGACAAGACATGGGATGGGCGGGCTAGTCAAGGTTTTGTTTCCGCACAATGTAGTGTAATCATTAAAATCGAATGCTCCCAAAGATTGGGGGGCGCAGAGGGGCGGGGAGCGAAAGGAAAAAGGAACGAAAAGCCGGAATGGCTAGTCGAAGGTGGAGATTCATCAAAGGGAGCACGTTAATGAATGTGCACTAATATGTACGATGAATCTATGTATTGGTCTCGAGGTGCGTGTGTGCTAAAAATAGACGGGGTCTCTCCCATCATGCCGGGGTGCAAATTAACTCGCTGCTGATCCGTCAACCGAGTCCAACCCAAGGTTGAATCTCTTTTCGTCTTGTTCGTTCATTCTCCAGTCCTCTTCAGTCAACGTGGACTTTTCCTTGGGAGCGTGCTCTACGGGTAGGCTACATGTACATGGCTGCTCTTCTTCGTCCTCCTCGTCTCGAAGAAGAGAGAAGGGGGAACATGACATTACATGGAATAGCGCGGATGTCTCAAACAAAGCGACCAACGCAACCTCAAATTCAGAGCTTGGTTCGCGAGCACCTTGATTTGCCTCTTCCTTTTCCCGGAAGGGAGGGGAATGGTAGGCCACAGGGCAGATCGCTGACCAGGCGTGCGGCACGTCTCGTCTTCATCGCGTGGTTCCCTTTCTCGTCAATTGCCCTCTCTGGTAGCGATCGGATCCTTGACGCGCGCAGGGCAACACTCTAACCGTGGAATCCCGCAATCAAGAATCCGACAAAAGAAACATTGAAGCTGGAGTGACGGTGCCTGGCCGGGACAGCGCGTGGTTCCTCGCCCTCCTTTCCACATCCGGGTCATCGCATTGCCCCGAGAAAGGTGCGATGCCTTGAATCATTGGTGGCATTCCATCTTTCTTACCCTTCTGCTTTCTTTTTGTCAACCTCTTTTTCCCATCGTCTTCCTTGATTGTTTCCAACTTAGACCGTTGCACCCCCTTGCGTCGCCACGCAGCATGCACTGGTACCGTTTTCCCGGTGACGAAGGTAAAAACGAAAACAAGTCACGACCCCAGCCATCGTGCGACCTCGTCGTCTGAGGTCAGCTCACAGAACGGAGGGGCTGATGTGAGGCTCCTTTTTCCCCTTGTTTTGAATTCCCTTTTTTCTTTTTGCTCCGCCTAGAGATTTTGGGGGCCTCGCCGACGACGGAAAGCGAGCCGGCCAGTCGCCATCTTTCCCTTGACATCCCGGCTCATCTCAGTCCATCCTTGCTTCGCTCTTCTTCCAGTGTGCTTTGGTGATCTTAACATAGATGTTGCAAAGCGAGAGTGCGAGAATGCGATTAGTGATGTGGCGCCCCTCCTTCTCCCTTCCTCCCAGGGGCTGAGGGTGACATCCCGCACACTGGGGAAAAAAGGAAAGGAACCACGAGAGGCTTCCCTCCATCTTGGTTCTTCAGATACCCGTGGGGACCCCAAGCGGATGAATTGGAGGCCGACGACGCGATACACGGCGAACGAAGAGGTGTGTCTGTGTGTCGGTGTGTGAGTGCGCGCGCGTGTGTAAACTGCTACTGTTGCTTTTTCGGTGGGGATCCACGCATCGTCACTCGTTTCTCTTTTTGTCTTTCTTTTCCTGCGGGGGCGGGGAGAAGGAGAAGAAAGAAAGAAAGGGAAAAAAAAACTATTTTCGTCTCTCCTCAATGTGTTGAAAGGGAACGGGGACGAGGAGGCTCAGAGTCCGGGTCGAGTCATGTAGGCAAATGGGGAGGGGGCGACATCGTATACCCTCGAGCCGATCTCTCTCTCTCTCTCTTATTCTCTTACTCTATGTCTCGCTGGGTGAACGTGAAAAAAAGAAAAAAGTTTGGGAGGAGGAGTAGGAAGGGCAAAGGATAAATTGAAGCAATCTTCCCGTTTGGCCCTCCCCTCCATTTCACCCCATTCCCGGTCTTGGTCTTGGATTTCATCCTCTCCCGAGAGTTTATATATACATCCATATATATATATATTCCTTATTAGCATCCCCTCGCTTCCCGTCTTCTCATTCTCTTCTTCTCTTCTGGTTGACAACACCGGATCCCAAACCAACTACACACACACAAAAAGCATCCCAGTAATTGAGGATCGCAGACACGTATAGAAACACAATATAAAACAAAGCCAAGGCCCCTCTCGACAGAACTCCCCCGGCCCAGACATAACACTTTTCTTTTCTCCCCAAAAATGAAGCTCCTCGCTCTCCTCCCCTCGCCGCCGTCGCCGCCGCCGCCGCCTGCGGCTCCGTCAAGGAGTGCCCCGCCGGCACCCGATGCGACCTATCCAAGTGCCCCCTTCATGCCCACCAAGTTCTGCCAGAACGCCTGCGTGTCCCTGACGACCCGTTCCCCTCCCAAGAAGACGCCGCCCCCTGTCAAGGAGGAGCCCGAGGAGCCCGAGGAGCCTGAGTATCCCGAGTACCCCGAGGACCCCGAGTTCCCCCGGCAACGAGTACCCCCTGCGGTGGCTTCCGCATCACCCCGCCCCTCGAGTGCCCCGACCCGGACTCCATCTGCATGTCCGATCCTAGGCTCGGCGGCTGCGGCCTCGCCTGCGACGCCCCCGGCATCTGCGTCGTGCCTCTGTTCTGCGGCGGCTTCGCTGGCTTCGGATGCCCCGATGGCCTCGAGTGCTGGGACGATCCTAGGGATGACTGCGATCCCTTTAACGGTGGTGCTGACTGCGGTGGTATCTGCATCTAAGCACGGGAGAGAGAGAGGGTGACTTGAGAGGATTGAGAGGATTGAGAGGATGAGGGAGGGGGATGGCGGTGGCATCATCAGGCCTTGAGGTTCTGGGGAGGAAGTGCAGAGGGGTGGGAGAAGACGGGAGAACTCATGGTACGCTTGGTGGGTTCTAAGAGGCTGGTTATCTTGTTTCCATTCTTGGTAGATATAAATTGCATCACTTTGTCCATGATATAGACACCATGTCTTTGCCCGTGACTGCTCTCTTCCCTCCTCTTGTATCACAGGAACCGCGCTGTAGGTTAAGAGTCTAACTACCTTCTTCTTCTATCTCTCGAATAGGCGAGGCAGTGAGAATAAGACTCCAAGATACAAATCTTTGCGCGTTCGGCCACCTTTCTCTTCTCCTAGTTTCCGCACGTACACACACGCATATACTCTGGTTAGAGAAAAATAAAGCAAAGCCACGAGCCATTAAAGCTTCGCCTGTTCCATCTAAAAGTACCGACCTAGGTCTTACAAAAGCCCCCAAAGAAAAAGGGAGAAGAAGAAGAAGAGTAGAAAGAAGAAAGAGAAAAATAGATACCATCTCCAAACTGCCGGACGGACGTCTAAACTATTTTCAAGTTGTGTTGTTCCATCCCAGCTATAACCCCAAGAAGAAGTGAAGATAAAAAGAAAAAGATAGAAGGAAAGACACACTTCTCGTGACAGAAAGATCCGTCAACTATTTAACCCTCGCGTATACTCGTCTTTTTGCACTGCCCAAGCCCCTTATTCGATATTCTGCTTTTCACCAATGCTTACGGTGTCCGTCATGATGCCCTCCCCGCCCACCATACCCGTGGCCGTACCCATCTCCGGGTCCGTGTCCTCCACGGGTAGTCACGGCAGTCTTGAACGTAGTTGGCGCCGAAGTCGGCGTCCCCTCCACGGGGTCCGAGTCCTGCGTCGACGTCACTTCCCCGTCCGGATACTGCGGCTCTTCGGGGCCCGTCGGTTCCGGGGTCGGTTGCTCGGGGAGCTCGAGCCAATGGTTGTTCCCTCCACGGGGTCCGAATCCTCCGTGGACGTCTCAGTAGCTTCCGGATACTGCGGTTCCTCGGGACCTGTTGGCTCCGGAGTCGGTTGCTCGGGGAGCTCGAGTCAATGGTCGTTCCAGGCTCGTCGTCGTCGTCGTCGTCGTCGTCGCCGTCGCACGCGGGAGGGGATGAAGAGTGCTGGGGCGGGGCCGAAGATGTTCCCGGCGACGATGACGTTGGAGGAGAAGTCGACGAGGCTGTGCCGGGGATGGGGTCTGAATCTTCGGTCGAGGAGATGGGTGGGTTGACGTGCGACGAGGTGGGGTAGCCGTCCGTCGTGCCTGGTGCCGAGGAGGTGGTGGTGGTGCTGCTGGACGGCGCGTGGGTGGGACGGGTTGTGTCCGTTCCGGTGCTCGGGCCCTGGGTCTCCTCGTCTTCGCAGCCGTAGGGATTGTCGCACGTGCTTGACTTTGTTGACGAATGAGGTGGGACTGGGGGCCGGAGCTAGTCGAGGAGGACGCAGACGTTTGGCTGGGTTTACCGCTGGTTCGCGTAGAGGTGCCGTGTCCACGCGACGAGGAAGATGATTGAGAGGATGCAGTAGTAGTAGGTGCCGAGTAGGTGCTACTGTGGGTGGTGGATACTCCGTGGCTGCTGGCCCTGGTTGTGGTCCCAGTCCCGACGCCGGTGCCGGTGCCGGTGTTGCTGCCAGTCCTGGTGTTGGTGTTGCTACCAGTCCTGGTGTTGGTGCTGCTGCTAACTCTGGTGTTGGTGCTGCTGCTAAATCTGGTGCTAGTGCTACTGCCAGTCCTAGTGCCGGTGCCGGTTCCGGTGCCAGTCCTGGTGCTACTGCCGGTCTTCCCAGTCTCCGTGTGGGAGGTAGGCCGGCTGGAAGATCCACTACTAGTACCCGTGGGGGCGAGCCGCTCCCTGATGACGAGGGACGTTGGGCCCACCGCTCGACACGCTGCTAGTCAAAGTCGTGGTCGACGTCTTCGAGCCCGATGACTGGTGCGGTGGCCTACCAGAGCTACGCGAAGTCCCGGGCCCCTGGCTCTCGCTAGGCTTCGACCCGGTCGACGACGGCTGCACGGCGTCAGCGCTCGTGACGCCCGAAGTGGAGGGCCCCGGACCGTAGGTATACGACGACGGCGGTGTGCCATGCGAGCTTGGGGGACCAGGAGGACCAGAGTGGCTCTCGGTGGGCTGTTGGGGAGACGAGCTTTCGAACCCCGAGCTCCATGCGGACTCCGTCGGCTCGGGGTACTGCCCGCCATCCTCCTCGGAGGAGGTGGAGTGAGAAGAGGAAGAGGAAGACGGGAAGGGCACCGTCGAGACGAAAGTCGACTCGCTCGTCAGCGTGGTGGTGCTCGTCCCATCGACGGAGCCCGACGGCTGAACGGGGTCGCTCTTCTCGGTCGATTGCACCGGCGGCGGGGCAGTGCTGGATTCCGGTTCACCGGACGGGGTCTCGGCTGGGTGGCTGGATGACGGCGGGATGCACGACTCCGGAGGCATGGTGATGAACGAGGTGACGGTCGAGGGCGGCGCGCAGTGTGCGGCGCATGCGGTCACCGTCACCGTGGCAGTAGCGGTGGCAGTGACGGTGGTGGTGACGACGTTGGGAAGCCGTAGCCGCCGTGGCGGGCTAGGCCTCGTGCCAGGACGGCGTGGGAGCTGTGGTGCCTTGCGTTAGCCTTTTCTTTCTTTCCTTTCTTAGGATATATAGGGGAGGGCTTGTTATGGGAGGGGGAAGAGAAGGACTTTAGCTTACCCCAGGCCCAAGAGGGCTAGACGACTAGCTAGAGCGACCATGATGGGCAAGACAAGGGCTTGGTAGAAACGAGTGCGTGTATAACTGGAGATACAGTGGAAAAGAGAAAAATAAAAACGAGTGGCAGTCTCCGCGTGACAAAGGTGTCTGAAGGCCAATGGTCCAAGAAAAGGTTCCCGGATATCAAACGTTGCCAAGTAGAAGGCTTGACGCCCTTTTATATCCCGGCGCCAGGTCTCTCGGCCCTTGCCGTCGTTTGTCTCCCGAAGAATGCCATATCGTTTTTGTCTTGACAACACATCACATCACATCAGAGAGATAGACAATAACGTTCTCGGGTCGCGACTTTGTTTTTTTCGCAGGGAGGGGGCAACACTTTGCAAAGGAAAGAGGGAGAGAGGCCCAACCACCTGAAAAAGAAAACTCTTGAGATCCCCTATCAAGAGCTGTTCATCTATCTCTGGAATGAAGCTGCTGCGGCCTTCCGTGCAAGGCAGGGGAAAGAACAGGTTCTCTTCCATATCCACCAAGGGAATGATTCAGCAGAGCTGAACACACACGAGCACGCAAGTCTTGCCTCTTCTTCGCAGCCCCTCACCTATAACGCACTCGCTCTCCGTTCTCTCGCCATCGCCCCCTTGGCCTTCCCGTGTCTATTCATGGAATGGGCAGGACCCCGCGCGGAAGGCTGAAAAATCGTCATCCGATCTCGTAAACCCCTACCCACGGCGGGCCGGTAGGCGGGCGTCGCAAGCCGCAATATATCTCTGATCAAGCCACCACGGTCCTTTTTAATACACGAGGAAGCCACCCACGGCAAAGGAGGGGGGAACACTTTGTCCGGCCCGACTGTCATCCCCCAGAGAGGAAGTGAAGGGGGACGCGGGGGCCTGGAATGGAGTGGCGTGGCCCTGCCGCTCTCTCTCTCTCTCTCTCTCTCTCTCTCTCTCTCTCTCTCTCTCTCTCTCTCGTTCTGCTACCCCTTGGGAAAGACCCTCGTTTAACGAAGCTTCGCCATGTCGAGGACGGATACAAAGTGGGCTCGTTAAACGTGGCACCGCATGGCCATTTTCTGGTGCTCTCTTTCCCCTCCTTCCACCATGGGATCTGTACGCCCCCTTCAGGACCACGACAAAGATCCAGGAGTGGATTCCGATCATTCTTCTATTAGCTCGTAATAGAAGGTTTGAACGCCTTGGTGGCTTGGGCAATGCAAAACATAAGCATACTCGCTCTTCGGTCCCGTCGGGTGCAAACGACCCGTTGGCGTGGAAGCCCCAGTCCGAGCTGCTCGTCCCCGAGGGAAGACGCGAGCCCTCTGCCGGTCAACATTTCGCACAACGCCTTTTTATCGCTCTCCTTTCCCTATCCATCGCCCTCATCTTCTCTCCTCTCTTTGGATACTTTAGGGGAGGGGAGCAGACCACGACCCAGCCTTCAGCGCGGCCTTGAACCCGTCAACAGCGGAAGAAACGAACTGAGAGGGAATAGACAGAAAAGAAATACCCAAGCCACGGCCCGAGACATACCCGGCCCATCAGGCCAATTGGTGGGAAGACGGGGGTTAGAAAACGAAACGCGGCCAGCCCTCGTGCATGTAGATATCAGCACCAATCGCCTCGCCCCGCCCACCTCCCGATATAGGAAACAGGCGCGAGCAGGCTTAACCTCTTTCAAAAGAATTTGAAGGGGAGAGGTCGAGGAAACCCGCGTTCATGGGAAGTAGTAAAAGGAAACCAAAATAAGGGGGCGGGGGATCGGAAGCGATGATAGACGACCCGCAGGGAGCATCTCGGCATGCGGCATGTTCAGACCGGCGTGGGGAGGGGGCAGGAAAGCTTAACTCGATCCTCCCCTCCCGTATCGGCGACGGCGAAACCGGGCATATGTGAGCCTGTCTTCAGCTTCCCTAAGAGTTCTCTCGTATCGTTCAATCTCAAACCATCGCTCCCAGAGGGCCAGGGCGAGGCGGTATCGGCCCTGTGTTGACTCGGGGCGGGCATCATTGTCGCTGTGAGTGGCAATGGAAAAGCGAGGATCCTGCATGCCAGCCCCCTCTCCCTTCTCTATTCCTTCCTCGTGCGTCCCCAAACGAACAAGAGGAGAGAATAGAAAGAAAAACATCGACCTCGTACCTGCCGCTCATAGCATCAACCCTGCACGATGCCGGTACGGTGCAACCACGCCCGTCATCCGTCGTAGTACAAAAAAGGGGGCGCATAGGACCTCCTTTCGTCTGTTGCCATATACCCCATGCACCTCCTCCCCGCCAGCACGGCGAGCGGCCGGACGAGTATCCAACGCAGTCGAATAGTGAGGCCACACGGCGGCGCGGGGAAGGGAATGGCACGGCGACCCGCCATGGCTAGGGACTGGCTCGTTTGCGAACAAGCGGTGGCACCTACTCTACATCAAACGAGAGGGAGAGAAACGTTGTGGGGGATAAACTTGGGCTAGGGAAGGCTCATGTTTCCGTGGAATAAGGTCGGGATTAGGGGTTGTTTGTTGACACGCAGACTCGAGGCAAAGAGGCCCCAAGATCGAAGAAAACCAGAAGCTTTTAGAAAAGTGCAAATGGGGATCTTTCGCTGAGTGCTCGATCCCTCCTGTGGGCACCAGGCTCGTCAGCCCAAGGCAATCGTGGTGGATACCGAATGGGCGCCTTGTCCCTCTCCCCGACCGCGCGCCAAGCCAACCAATCCGAGACAGCGAGTATCACTCACCCGACGGCTCCTTTTCCTCACACTCCGAAATCGTCTCTCGAGAGCAAAGGGGAAAGGGCACACGAACGGCCGAGACAAGTGGTGCGTCGAGTGCCCGTCTAGACCGACCCCCGCGGAGCTAGGCATCCCCGTGGAGTCTGTCACCTCGTCCTAGGCCATCACCAGCCCGGGAGTTTGAAGACCAAGATATTGCCTGATTCAAGTAGACTGACTACCTGTGTAGGACAATGCCGCCCCAGTAAGATCTCCAGGGGAGGACCTTACAACCTCCAAGGCTGGAGCGAACATAGTGCGAGCTCCGGCATGAGAAAGCCATGCAACCGCCTCGACATCGGCACAAGATGAGCACGCACACAGAAGCGGATAGGTAGAATATATATATATAGATTGATTCCTTTTCTATTCAAGGACCCAGCCCTAGATAAAACAAGCACAGATAGTCATCGTCGCACTCAAGCCAAACTCATCCCCCAGCCCATCGAAACCCCTAGAGTAAGATCAAATATATATGTATATAGAAATCGACCCGCAAGATAGATCAAGCGGGAACAATCAAAAAGGTCGGAGAGGGAGGCGGTAGCGGTAAGAGAAAACAAGAGACTCCGGACAAGGTGACGCAAGGAAATGAGAGAGAAGGGGCGCTGTTAGCCCGCCGACCACGATGAGTCGGGGCGGTTTGAATAGGTGAAAGCATAAGACAACGTAAGCATGTGGAGGAGGCTTCTGGGACAAAGGAAATGTAATGTTCTGTGTGGGGGTGTTGTGAATGAGGAAAGTGGGTGAGCAAGAGCCTTTGGGAAAAAGGCCTCGCTGCAAAGGCAAAAATTATCGCGATGGAACGGCGGCATACATGGCAACCATGATGCTTGGCCATCTCGTGTATATATATAAGCGTGAGGCAGATGCAACGGGCAAAGGAAAGGAAAAAAGCAAAGGGTTGTTGGAGAAAGCAAAAGCCTTCCCAAGCAACAAAACACACCACAAGTCCTAGTATACCAAAATGCTTCAGCGTCAAAACGCATGCCCTCATCTTACCAAACGCAAAGTAGAAGAGAAAAATAAGAGCCAATATTTCCGTCCCCAACGCCTGGCCAACAGAAAACATATGATGGGAAAAGCAAGCAAGGATACACAGGTAAAGGGTGGTCAAGACCAAGGCCTTGACAACCCATTCACGATCAGCCGTCATAATTCACGCGTTGTAACGCATGAAAATCACCCACGGTCCGCGGTATACCAGGCCCCTGTTGCGCTGGATGTGAGGCTAGGGTAAACGGTTTCGCCCTTTGCGGATCCATCCCCATGCCGGGCGAGACCAGGTTCGCCCCTTGCGGGCTCATGGAGTGCATCATCGACATGGCCCCGGGGACATTTGCCTTTTGATGCATCATGTTTTGCTGTGGATTGCCGAGGTGCGGCGGTGCCTGCGAATTGAGAAGGCCCATGCCGTGCGGCGCTTGTTGTTGGTGGTGGTGCTGTGGCGGCTGCTGTCCCATGGACGCATGCATCTGCTGAGGGTTGAAGCCTTGCATCCCGTTGTGCCCGTTGTGCTGCGGATTCATCTGTTGTTGTGGACCAACCTGCGGCTGTCCGTTCATCCTTTGCAGCATCATGTCGGGGAAAGAAAAGTCGTTGACATTCTGCGGGAATTCGACACCGGGCGACATGATGGGCGGCGAGGTGGCAAAGCTAGCGGCCATTTCGGGCGGGGTGTTCTGAGCCATGGACATGCCACCCGAGGCGCTGCTGCCCATGTTGGAGTCGGGGGAACCATTGTTCATGGACGCCAACGAGAACTTGCGATCGTAATCGGCAACGCTAAACTTGTCGAGATCCTCGGTGTCAAGGCCCAGGTGCATCTGGGAGGAGGGAGGCTGAGCCATGCCGGCGTTGCCGAAGCCATCAAAGATGTCGATATTGGCCAGATTGGCGCTGACACACTCGGGCGCGTTCTGGAGCATGGGTGTCACGAGGCGAGGGAGGGCCTCGGCGAGCTTGTTGAATAGCAGAGGGAAGAATCGCTGATCACCGTTCCTGAGGACGGCGACAATGTTCAAAATTTGCGTCAAACGCTCGCGGGGGCCAACAGTGAATTGATCACGCGAGATGGGCTTGTGCGACAGGGCCGTGGCGGTATCATTGGCAATCTCGAAAAGCTTCTCAACCTAGATTGATTCCATTCGTTGTTAACAAAAGAGATTCGCGGGTATGTTACAAAAGAAGGCGTCACGGTTTAACTTACCATGCCGGTGCCAATGAGCTGAACACCCTGGCCGGGGAACTGCGAAGCCCAGTTGACAATCATGTCCCTGGCAACCTCGGCAGGGAATTGGAAACCCATGGCATTCTCCTCGCCTTGGCTTGAGAGTTGCCAGTGCGTGGTCTTGAGCCATTGCTGATTCGTCGACATGTCGTTGAACTGGGAGTCCTGGCACATGTAGCTAGGCATGATGTCGGAGAGCTGCTTCTGCAGGTTGGCAGTGTAAGCCGAGGTGAAGTTGGCGGCCGTCTTGCCCCAGGTAGAGAGGAGGGCATCGTCAAAGAGACGGAAAGAGTTGACCAGCGCGATGAAGGGCGAGATCTCGGTGGCCAAAGGGTCGGAGGGGTCGTCCGCCATCGTGGGCAGGTTGATGGACGCCTGGAGGGTGACTGGTCGCTGGCGCTGGAGAGCGTAGGCTCGTTCGGTAGAGAAGACGAGCCAGTACAGGCGTCTCCGGCGGGAGGATTCGACAGGATCCCACTGCATATAGCTTTCCTCCTTGTGCATATCGAGCATGTGCATCATGGTGCTAGCCTCGCGCAGGTAGAACCAGGCCTTGCTGTGAGACTCGACGCCGTAATAGCAGGCGAAGAGGAGGTAGCTGGTGGCGATGGAGTTCAGGGTCGGGCTATCGAGGTACTCGTAGCCGTTGCGAACGCGCATGGCCTCCTCGAGAAGCAAGGTGCTGGCGATGAGATTCGAGCCGGGCATCATGTCAAGGTTGTAGGGGTCGCTGGGAGGCATCGTCATGCCGGGCTGGAGCATAACAAAGGCGCAGAGAGCGGTGACCAGGCAGTAGACGTCTCGGTTCTGTTCCATGAACATGGCCTGCTGCTCAACCTTTGGCGGACGAGGATGGGCATGGTGGAATACATGTGGGCGAAGAAGAATTCGAGGCATTCCTTGACGAGCTCGCCGGTGACCATGCCGGGCGAGGGACCAGCGGTCGTGGGTTCTGCGAAGGCCCGGCGGTGAGGCCAGCAACGCGGTTCTGGACGCGGGCGGCTAGGCTGGTTTGGCGCTGAGTCTCCCTCAGTTCGCTGATAACCTTGGCGCGGGAGCCCTTGGGGCCCTTCTTCTGGGGAATCGCATTGTAGGTGCACGAGAGCTGGGCAGTCGAACAGTTCCTGCACGGGTTAATGCCGTCGCCCTTGACCTTCCTACGATGACAAGCATCGCAGGCTCGTTTTATGGCGGCCGACATGGTGTGTGTGAAGTTTAGTGCGCGCGGTGGCGATGATGAGGTGGATTAATAGTAGGGAATTTCGGTCGGACCGGTAATTCTGTCTCGATGCTGAACGCTCGACGACTCGTTGACCAGATGAAGAAGGAGTAAAGATTATCTGTTCAGGAGTTATTTCGGCGACATGGGAGCATGGATTTGCTGGAGTCGACGTTGATCGGCGGGTAAGGGTTGGCTGTGCGCGATTCTTCGTGCGAAGCGGCGTCCAGAGACACAAGATTTGTCCAAGCCTGGCCTCCCAAGAATTAGAGATATAAAAACACAAGCGCGCGGGTTTGGCGAGGCGGAAGCCTGTTCGTTGTTCAATCGGTCGACGGAGCAATTAAATTTTCGAAAAAGAGACACAGAGTTAAGCGGAATAGCCAACTCTGCGAAAGATTTGTCGACTACGACGAGAACATTAGAGAGCGAGGCATGGGGTGGAAGAGATGAGATGCAGAGACGATCAGGTTCTGGCGGCGGGAAGGGAGAGAAGAGGGAAAGGAAAGGGTGGATCAAGTGACGGGCGGGCTGGGGGACGTAATGGACGGCGGGGATGGGGAGAGGTAATAGAAGGGGAAATGGAGGCAATGCAAGCCCCCAAAATGAGAAGACGTGAGGGCTGGAAGGCACAAGGTACCTGAGAGTTGCCCGATGTTCCCGCCAAACTCTGGGGCATGGCTTAGGCGAGGGCATGTATTATCCCTCAGAGTGGTGGTATAAACAGTGCATTGCACACGGTCCGCTAGTCAGCCAATCATCTCCCTACCCCAGGTCCCATCCTGTCGTTCTTCGTGCCTTGACCCACAAGTACTTTCGATCCAGCGCGGTACCAAGGTACCGGGCAATATCCCAGGATGCCTTGGTGCTTTGGTGCTTCCTTCCCAACAGCCACACACACGGTGTACTTTTGGAGTTTTGTGCCAACCAACGTGAACTTGGCCAAACCACGCCAACATACGAAGTAGACCTAGGGCCCTAGGGCCCCGGAGGGTTGTACATGGTTGAGACACCACGATGCAGCAAGGAGAAAAGTCACATTTCTTTGAAATCGACCTTGCAGATTCTTTCCTCGCTGGGAATGGGCTTGTCAATTGATCCATCCGTTGATCAATGTCCCTTCTCATACCACTGCATGTGGCTTCTCAAAAACAAGCCCCGAGGCTTGCGAAGCCGAGCCATTTTTTTTTCTTCGTCCGAGCTCCTCCTTGCGCTGCCTGCCCCTCCCACTTGTTCTCGTGTCGTGCTGACACAAGCAACAGTACAAGTACAAGACCAATGAATTTTCGAGAGGTTCAAGGGGGTGTCGACGAGAGGGACCCATCGGGAGGGGAAAAACGAACTACGGCCATCCCGTCTTCTGGCGGGGGCTCATGCTCAGAGGGCGATCCCCTAAAGGGGAAAATGGGGAAAAAAGGCGAGGGCCATACTATGGGAAGAAAAAGAGAAATCTCGATAAATGGGAAAATGAAAATGAGACGATCCGGGTTTGACAAGCTGGGTGAATAAAGCCGGAAAGGAAGCTCCATAACACACTATAATCCATCGTCAGGGGACGAATGGGGCATGTTATCCCCTGAGGCTGTACCTTCCCGCTCGCCCGTCGTTCATTTGTTTCGTCGTCTGCTCACCAGCCCATTCTGGTTGGTTTGATCTAGTCATCCAACTGCACACTATAATCATCAATGTATTATCCACGGTTGGCGGACCCAACACAACGCAATTCCGAGTACACCAAGCGTGCTGGGCAACAAAGGCAGTGAACACGGAGACTCCCCTTGGCTCCGTGGCCTGTTTCCCAGTTTCTGCCTGTAGCTTCCCTTCATTTTGTGGCTTGCCTGTGCAACCAGGCGTGACTGGGCGAAGCAAGGGAGCAAGGGCCCTTTGACGCGACAAGGGAGCCAGGGTGACCTGGGACGACCAGGGTAGGAAGAAAGAGGGGATCAACACACTCTAAACATGACGACGAACTGACACTAATAACATGAACGAGAAAAGGAGTCGCAGTTCGTCCAGGGGGACCATGATCGTTCGTCGTGTCAATACCATCTTTGGAACGACTCGCTCCCTCTCTCTGTCTGATAAGCCTAGTAGGCTGCTTAGACCAGCCGGCAAAGGCCACAAATTACTCAGGTTCATGCAAGCTAAACCAGCCAGCCCGCCCCATCGTGAGCCAGAAAACGGTGAGGCAAGTGGGAAAATAACGCCCCTCATCGCGGGTTTCTGGGGGACATTGCTGTGTTGGCTGGCTGGCCCCCATCAAGTGGCTTTTTCCCTTTGTCTCTCGCAAAAGAAAAGCAATGAGAAAAGAAACTTGGCGGGAGATGAGTCCCGGGCTTGGCTGGCGTGGGATGTGAACCCCTTCCGTTGAAACCGCTGTCCTCCGCTAGGAGAAGTAAGGGGGGTTCACTCTGGCCGGGGATGGACGGGGGAGCTGAGTGTGTCTGCTTGTCCTCAAGGTGCCAGGGAACAGGGAGAGACAAGATCGATTTTGATGATCGGCCATCACCCTCCTCGCGACTCAGTTCATCGCGCGGAAGGGCAGAAATCGAGCGGGGTTCAGCAATGGCGTTCCCCGTCGTGAGACTGTGTACTTGTCCATGAAGTTCCGGTACCGTTCATCCCCGCTGGCATTCCACCACTGGTTGAGAGGAACCCATTCGGCCACATAGCACTGTATTTCTGTGTTGGTTATTCTTTTTCTTTTATCCTTTTTCGAAAGTCAAAATCACGATCGCTCACGGAGCATCTATCTGCGGAATGGTCGGGAGATGGAAAGATGAGAGAACAAATCCACTTGCCCCCGATGGGCAGATTCCCAATTCGAATTCTTCGACCACGCTGTCGGTTTCGATCCGAGGCTTTGTATGTGGCTTGGATCACCACCCACCACCAATGCTTGTCCCCTTCTTCATCTTCGTAGCTGGACACAACTCTCCAAAATTGTCATGAGGCGTCTAGGTACCCATTACTTGTCCCTTGCAGCAATCTCTCAACGGCAAGGGGGTCATTTCACGACGGGGACGGGCGTTGCGGTCAAAAGCTGACCCAAACGACGCAGTGATACCTGCTCGTCCCACCGTATCGAGTGTCCGTAGATACCTTCACTTTTGACTTTGCGGTCCATCTACTGGTATCTATACGTGCTTATCCTGCAATCCGGCGGTCCGGAAGGCTTATTACCAGCATCAACTGATCCAGCGATCTGTTGGGTGGCATTTGACTTTGCCAGAAGCTTGGGCTCCACGACATCCATGGATCAATCAATGCGTGTGCGGATGAGGGATGTTTCTTCTTCCAGAGGCAAGTCACTCTTCTTCTTCCATCCCTGAGGCGGAGCTCTTCGAGCCGGTGGAGGGGCATATTAGCAACCAGTGACAAAAGGGCACGCCCAACTGAATTGAAGATGCCAAAGCATCCATACTACGGTTCCTAACAAGTATCAAGAAGTCTTGAGCCCCCGTCATCCCTAAAGCAATCATTTTTGAACTCAAATACCCATTGGCCTGCATGGGGAACGAGGGGCCAGTCCTCTTGGTTTTCTTTTCTTTTTTTTTTTTTTTTTCCGTTCTTGTTTTCTTTTTCTCTCTTCTTCTTTTTCTTTTTTCTTCTTCATTTCCTTTTCTACTCTTCGAGTTACTTTTGTGATTGTGTTGTTTCTGCGAGCCCAAACCTTCTTCCTTTTCTCTCTCTGACTTGTCTTCTGCGTTTCTTCGTACGGAGTACTTTGTCGTCAGCCCTCATTTCCCGAACTTGATGGATAGTGTGGCGCGAGATTTCAGAGGTACATCCTTCAGCGAGAAGCACACACGTCCCTAATACTTCGTAGATGGTGGCAAGTCGGGAAGCGGCCAGTACCTACACGTAGAAGCCCAACCCTATGATATGAATTGATTGATCCCATCGGAGTAAACCAACTAGAGTTGTGCTTTCCTCCGCTCACCATTCCGCATTGTCCCCCTTTCAACTTAATTGATGAAGTTGAAGATACCAGAGCGGCCCTTTTCGACAACCCGCAAAAAAAATGTCGACGGTCTCCACCGTGAATGCGCCATTCCCCGGCCTCCAGGCAGGATAATGAGGGGTGACGGCAGTCAAGACCCCTGTCACTAAACAAGCAGTTGGAGGTGATTCCCTTGGAGTGAATCAATTTTGAAGCCTCACCTCTTTCGACTTGGCCCAATCCACTAGGGCGCTCAGAGTACCGAGGGCGACTTGAGGGACCTAAAAAGTTCATCTCCACCGTACCTCGGTACTCCACCCACTGTGGATTCCTGCCGGAAATACTTTCTACCCTGTCTAGTGTGGAGTACAGGACGGGGTTGGCCCTTTCTCTCCGCCTCTCTCCAGCATCGCCCGTCGGCTGTCATCACAGTGTATCTTGTTAGCCCACACACTAATATACCAACTTCCCACGCGAAGCAACCTCGCCAACCTCGGATTGGAATTGCATTGACAAAACTTCCCAGCCAACGCTGGTTCTCCTGGAAGCTCAACCATCAAACCACCACGTCCGTCCCCATACTGAGATGTGATCGCGATCGAGCCACAAACCCATCTAGAGATTCGGCATTGACGGCGAAAACACGCCGACACACATCTAAGCTGAGCTGGACCGCCCGCTCTGGGGAATGCTGCTCATCAATCAGATCAAGCCTGACCGGTCATCGCATCACAGACTCCCGAAGCCACGGATCAAGCCCAGGAAAGCCATCTCATCAAGCTTCCTCCCGTGCACGCACGCCTGACACGCGCACACGATGTCAGTCGCTCTACACTAGTAGTGCTTTCTTTCCTTCTTTTTCCCCTCCCCTTCTCTTTTGGTATCTAGCTCTCTCGTGTTGTTTTCGAGCAATTCCCCCTTTTGGTCTGTTGCTACTCACCTCAGTTGATAGATTGTATTCCCTTGATTGATCCGTGTTCTGGATTTATCTCGTACGTACACTAGGTTATTCTTTCCCTCCTCAGAAAATGAGGAGTTCATGCAAATGGCCATCTCCGCCACCTCCGCTCATGCTTCTTAGTATGAGCTACTCCGGGCCCATCGCGGAGCTTTGTTTTGAGAGCTATCACCTTTTACCCTTTCTAGTTCACCTCTCCGCGAGATGATCCGATCTCATTCCAAGTCCAAACGACGCTAGGAGGCAATGAACATCACCAACTCGGCCACCAGACCGAAGCTGGAGGGGATCAAGGCGCGAGAGTGCAACCTATGAGCCAGGTTTTCCGCCATCTCCATTTCTTTCCTTGGGGGCATTGGGGCATTGGAGCCCTGGGTGCCTGGGAGGCTCCCCGCGTTCGAGAACCAGGCGAGCCAGGCGAACCTTTTTTGTTTTTCCCTTCTGGAATGGGGAATTGCTGTCTTCGTTCTTCATGACTATGCAGAGGTTGAGACAGAATAGCCCCGTTGTCCGGGGCAAACTGCTGCAGGGCAATGCAGAGTATCGGTCCTGTTTTGCCATCCGAGTGGCCACTATCCGTTGGGCTATTTCAAGAGAAATAAGCTTCCCCTTACTCAGGAGGCCTTGATCTACTTCCTCACGTCGCAGTCGGCCACTTGCCAGTCCATTAGGGCCGAGAGAAGGAGAGGGGAGAAGAGGAGGACTGGTAAGGGGGAGATGATGCCCTGCGCTGACTCCATATTCATGATGGCCTAGGCGGGGAAGAGTTAACAAATGGAGAAAAAGACGCGAGATCAGATGGCTGGGCCCCGTGTTTGGTTCTCATCGCTACGACATCCAGCCATCTAGCGCCCACTCGCGCGACTTCATGTCACCGAGAGCGCAGAAAGACGCCGAGGTGAGGGGAGGGGGGCATGGCCGTCGCCCTGTAGGAAAATTTTCCTTCTTTTTTGATCTTCTCCAAACCTCTGCTTAAAGGGGGGCTCGAAAGGGCTCGAGGGCTTGTTTCTTGGCCAACTCGACTCAGTCCTCAAGTATAGCCCTTGAATTCTGGTAATTATGCCCCATCGAGGACTCACATGCTCTTCGTCGCGGACGTGGCCTTGCTTTACTCTCGGCCTCTCTCGATGCATCTCTTCCCCTCTTTGCGCACTCATCCATACCGATCTAGCTTAGTGGCAGGTACGGGAGCGAGTGGTACGCTGTCAAGATCCCTAGACCGGGCGAGAGTATTAGTAGTACGGTACACCTCAAACAAGAGAACAATAAGATGGGAGGGGAGAGGCAGGGAGCCGTTCAATGCGGAGTCGGAGGCGGAGATGGGCCGCCCTGTCAAAAATGGGGCTGGCTCGTTCCGGGTAAGGTGATGACGATGTATGATCTGGGCGGGGAAAGAAAGAAGCTACACCGATAACACTAAACAAATGTGTTCCAGAGAGCATGTGTAGTGTAGTTTGGAATGGTCAAGCGACTGGAAGCCAACCGGCCAGGCTTGCCCAAACAGGCATCCCTGTCACGTAGTGTTGGGGAAGGGAGAACTCTAATAATCCAACGCCAGAAACTGGCCCGGGAATGGCGAATATTATTAGGCAGATCGTCGAAAAAAAGAGAAAGAAGAAGAGAGCGAAGAAGAAGAAAAGCAAAATTCACTCCCGTCTCTCCGTCCAGCCAGGAAGCGAAGTCGCAGACCAGAATATTGCCTATTGTCCACAAGGTTAAAACGGCGGAGGGAAGGACACGACGAGAGCGAACAAAAGATATCAAACGTCGCTTCCCCAGCTATAATTCGGGTGAAAGAGGAAGGCCCCACCAGGGCACAGCGTCCAGAACAGCGCATAAAACGACTAACATTGAAGTATTAGGCTGGTGCGCTGTTTTGTGTCCTTGCTCACAATAGCAGCTCTGTTGTTGCTCCTTCTCAACGTAAACGTCTTCCTCAATCTGTTCAAATGTGCATTGCGACTCTGCTTTGTGCCCACACGCCATGTCAGCGCAGAGGTGGTTGTTATTCGACCATTGCAAGTCAAGGTATAGACGGAAGTCACCCGCACTGTATGGACTGGGGAAAAGGCTTGGCGGAGGAACATTTTGATTGTGAATGTAACGCTATCTCATGCTGTTCCCGGGGATCATTCCATTTCAGGGCTAGCTTATGTGCATCGGGCCGAAAGGGCAAGGGGAGCAGGAAAGCCACTGCACAAGGGGCGCCCGGGACCTGCAAGGCTGCAGCTTGCACGAGACGCTCTCATTGGTCATTTCGTTGTGTTTCGTGCAGGGTCTTTGCATGCCTAAAGGGGAAACCGACATTTGCGCTGACTCATCGAAACATCTTAGTCATGAAACGACGGAGTTCTCCGCTCACGTGAGTCAAGGTTACATTGTTCCAACACGTGATGCTTTCTGTATGTCAGTTGTGTTCAGCTGCCAAGCGGCTTTGTCAGCCAAGGACTTTCCGGGTAGAGCTTCCCTGGAACGTGCAGCTTCAATAATTCCACCAGCCTCCTCTCCTCCCTTGGGCGACTGATACGCAACCATGGGTCGTACGACGCCACTCGAGGACGGTGATTGGTTCGAACCCGGCTTTTGCGTGTGCTCATCATGTCTGGATCAGGTCTAGCATCGTGCGCGCATCCCAGGAGAGGTTGCACTTTTCAGCTATTCGCTGCTTCTGCCTCAACTAGCTTTGTGGAGTGCACCCATTTTTGCTTGGACAAGTAAGCATACGGAGTAAGGTTTCTAGCGTGTATTGGGAGATCGGGGGAGAGTGAGAGTGTGAGAAAGGGAAGAGGGAAACCGAGGGAATTGAAGGGAAGGAAGACGGGCATCGCGAGTTGGTGCCGACTGTCCTCCCCTGTTGTTGTTGAGGACGTGGTGATTCGAAGTTTGATCCGATCTTACTTCCTGATCGCGAATAAGGGAGGTCAACGGCATCGGGTCCTCCTCCCGCCCTTTCAGCTGCTGTCGTTCCCGATCCACTCTCACTCTCTCTCTCTCTTGCTCACTCATTGCCTCTTGCCTGTGGCCGTGTGCTTGTCTCTCTCCTCTCTCACGCTCGCGGCCCCCTCAGCCAGCCGTTTTCTGCGCGCGCGATTGAAGCCACTCGACACACTAACCGAAAACTAGACGCAAAAGGGGGAAGGAACTTTCGACAGAGGCGTATTCCCGGGCTGGCCGACAGACAGTTAGCACCCACCTTATTTTCGCTTTCAGCCTCGTAGCTAAAAAGAGTTGAGAGGGAAGAAGAAGAAAAAGAAAGAAAAGAAAAAAGGTTCGTTGTCTGAAGATCATTCGGACTCTCGCAAAGGCTCTCTCTCCTTTTTCTTTCCTTTCTTTTTCTTTTGCTCCGTCTCGCGTTGCCCCGTCTTTGCACGTCTCTCGAGCTGGCCCAGCACAAGCAGCGGGAAGGAGAGCTCAACAGGTCCTTCGTTCTGTCCTCTTCGGCATCCATCGCCCTTTCCTCCACCCCAGTCGAACCTAGTCCTCCTTTTTAGCCCCTGCTTCAATTTACCTCTTCCCCTCCCTCCCAACCATAGTCGTAAATTGAAGGGAAGAGGCACACACAAGAAGAAGAGAGCCTCGCCTTTTTTTCCTCTCCACATCCGTTTTTTTCTTCTTCTTTCTTTTGCCGAGCTCTGTTTTCGCCCAACCCTTTTCCTGTCTTGCAAGCGCCCCTCCTTTTCCCCACTAACGTCTGCCGAATCCTCACCACTCCTGATATGTGATCGTCGTCATTGAAGAGAAGCCCACGGCAATCCCCCAGCCGGGTCCCCAGGGGGTGTAGATGAGGAAAGAAGAAGGCGGAGAAGAAAGGAAGCAAAAGCAGAAGCGGAAAAGAGGCAGAAGCGACAGCGCAAAGGAGACGAGAGGAGAGAGCGCCCCGACTCCCGGATATCGACACTGACCCAAAAGGCAAGAAACAAATTCCGCTTGTCGACCTTCTTTTTTTAGTTTTCGTCTTCATGCGACCAAACTTGGAGAAGAAAAGAAGAAGAAGAAGAAGAAAGTCGGCCTGACAAAAGAAGACCAGGGCGCCATTGGTAATTTTATATATCGAGAGACCCTCCAAAGTGATCAGGCGCATCCTTAGCATCAAGCACAGGGACAGAATCCTTTTGACCCAGGAGAGCAAGAGGAACGAGGTGTGTTTTGTCCCAACAGAGTGCCAGTGCCGAGCGCAGCCTTTTTATTTTGCAGACAAACACGAGACAACCGGACCCGGGAACCCCCACGCAAGGCGTGTGCTTCCAGCTACCGCCCAAGGCAGTTAAACAAGAGGCTGATCGATCTTCAACCGATCCAAGCTCGTTGGCGTCAGCGGCGGCTTACGTCTCGCTGCACTCGATTTGCACTTCGCGCGTGTGGTCGGGTCAGCGCGCGAAAGACGATTGGAGTTTTCGCTCCCTTTTCCCCTTTTCCGCAAAGCCGCCAAAGAAGGGGGAAGGTAGGAGAGCAAAGAAAAAGGAAAACAGCACGAGCGGTGGGCTGTATGGTCTCGCTCCACCCCCTTTTCCCTCCTCCCTGGCCCTTCCTCCCAAACCACCCCTCGTTCCGACTTCCCAGTTGAGTTAGGATGACCATTTCCGAACAACCACCACCACCCCCTCGCAGCAGCAACAGCAGCAACCCAAGGCGGCATCGAACCGCAAGCGGCCGTACAAGCCAAAAGTCAAGACCGGATGTACGTCATGCAGGTACGTTTATTGGTTTTCTTATTCCTTCGTCTCGCCTTTTTTCCCCGATTCAAACGGTTCCAACGGCCGGGCTCGTCAACCCCCTCCCCTAGAAACTAGGGTGCCGCCTCGGGAGCTTTGCTCCCCATCGCGCTCTTGTCTATTACCTACCCCCTTCCACTTCACACGCACTCACACACAAACCACCTCTCCCTTTGACTTGTCTCATTTCACTCCCATTGGTCCATTATAAGCTTAAGTGTCTCTATCCGCACAAACCCCGGGATGGAGTGGGGAGGAACGGCGGCTGGGGGAAGGGGGAAGGCCCAGGACCCAAGCGTGATAGGGCCCTGTGTGCAAGACGAAGGAGGCTCGTCCCGCGTATACGAGGACTCGTCTGGCCATCATCTTTGTTGCCCCAGTCCCGACATCGCGCGGGCAGCGACTGTGTTTCTTCACGGAAGCGAGAGGGAGAGAGAGAGAGAGAGAGAGGGGCTGTAGTATGCAATATCTCCAAGAATGATGGCTGCGTCTCCCGATTGCCTCGCGTCCCCGTCCCGTTTCCATACACCCCCACACATACCCACACCCATAACACAAATATATGCATCCGCGCACTCTTTAAAACCTCCCCAAGACACATGGTGAATGAAGGGGGGCGTGCCTGCTTCCTCCTCGACATAGTCACATCTCAGGATTGACCATGTAAAAATATTCCCAGGGTGTGCCAATAGCATGCACGCTTCGTGGCGTTCCCTGACCTACCCTTCACCTCAATTCATTCCTTCTTCTCCCCTTCCTACTCTAGATCGGAAGAAAAAGGAAAAGACAAGACAAATCCCCCTCCCCACCCCCAGACTAGTGGAAGTAGCAACGATGGATCAGAGAGACATGATGATAAATATTGACTCGTGCCTGTGCTGCCTTACCTAGGATACGGCGAGTCAAGTGCGATGAGGGAAAGCCCAGCTGCCAGCGTTGTATCAGCACTGGCAGGACATGCGATGGCTACGAGGACCTATTCCGACTGGTACAATGGGCCCCCAATCAAGGACCCGATGAGCCTCCCCTCGCCTCGCCCCAGCATGGTCAGCAGCAGCAGCAGCAGCTCCAAGGCCAGCCTTCTAAGCCGCTGGCAGGTGCGGCCCTAGCAGGCTTGTCCGGCCCGGCAGGAACCCCGAGTACGCAGAAGAGGAAGAGGCAGAGCGACCACCAGCATCAGTTTCAAATACAGATCCAGCAGGAGCAGTCTCACCACCAGCCTCACCAGCAGCAGCAGCAGCAACAACAACAGCACCAGCCGCAGCATCAACAGCACCATCAGCATCCTCCCCACTCCAGCATCAGCCCCAACCTCAGCCCCCGTCCCAGCTGCCACATCAACAGCAACATCAGTTCCACCAATTCCACCAGTTCCAGCACTATCCCTCGCCCGTGCCTGGTCCGGTGTCTCACGCTCCTCCTTTGCCCGTGCCAGCACAAGCACAAGGCGCGGCCCATTACCCTCCTCCTCCTCCTCCACCTACCTTCCGGGTCGCTGAGCCGGGGCCACCCAGGCCATCCGTCCTCGGTACAGCCGTCTCGACGCCGTCATCAACCGCCTTCTCGCCCTCCTCCCGTTTCTAACCCCACACATTGGGCGGGTCCTTCCGCCGTCTCCTCTCCGAGCCACACCGCAGGCTGGACTCTAGCATCCCGTCCCGCGCCTCCCGGGTCGACAACGACGGGCTATCATTCGTCTCTTTCACCCGGGACCGTTGCCTCGCCTGCCAGCTCACACCATGCGGGGAGCGCTGTTGTCTCTCCGGTGACCGCGGGGCCATCTAATCTTTATTCACATCCTCATCACCCTCATCCCCCATATCCTACCTCCCAGGCACCCGCGTCTGCGTCTGTGCCGGCCGCACATCACCATCTTCATGGCAGACCGACTCCCCTCCCGCCCAGGCAGGTCAGGCCAAGCCACCAAGTGCCGCACCCGGCAGTGCGGGGCCGCCTTCGCTCACGCCTCCGCGCCTCACGGCGCAGGACATCGCGACGCTGGCGGCACGGTTCACCAACAAGCCCATCTCGGAAGGGTACGAGGTCGAGGCCCGGACAACACTCGAGTTCAGCCTGTCGGAGCCGGCGGTGCGGCACGCGCTCACGGCGCTGCAGTCCCTGTACAAGACGCTCGAGGACCACGGGCACGAGTTCCCGCACGGGCGCCTGGCGGTGCCGACGGTGTACCACGGGCTGCAGGAGTACAATAATGCCATTGTCAACCTGGCAGACAAGCTGGCCGTCATGGACCGACGGTCGTGTGAGGTGGCGCTGGTTTGCTGCCGGCTCTTCATTAGCATTGGCACCATCACGCGCGACTACACGGCGGTGGCGGAGCACTACATCCGCGGGATGCGCATCATGCATGAGGCGGCGACACGGCCGTACCTCGACGCACGAGGCAACGTGATACCGACGCAGAACGGCGAGTTCCCCAAGATTGACATCTTCATGATCAAGATCTTCATGTCGCCCGACCGCATGGCGCCCGCGTGCAAGGAGGCCGCGCTCGCCATCGGCCGCCGGCGCCGGCTGCCCCACGGGAGTGGATGCGATTCGTGCGCCTGGCCCGCAACGAAGTGCGCGCCGCACGCGTCAAGGCACGGCTCCTAGTCATCAGCAAGCTTGCGCTACAGCACTTTGACAACGTGTCGCGCCTGCGGCCCGGGGCCGACGCGTCCAAGGTGCTCGCGGAGAAGGACGTGCTGGTGACCATGCTCGCCGACCTCAACCTCGACCGCCAGGATGGGCCCCGCCAGCTCGGCGCGTACCACGGTCGCTTCCACTTCCTCTACCACTCCGCTCTCACCATTGCCGTCAAGCTGTCCCTGTGGGCGCCTACGGATGATATTAGCGAGCTGAAACCCGTGTTTGAGCGCGTGAGCGCGGTGTCTGGCTGCGTAATCTAGGGTGACGACACAGAGACTTGGAGAGGGGGCGTGAGGCCAATGGGTGAAGGAACTTTGGAGGGAAAAGGGGGCAAAGGCAGGAAATTGGGTGGGAATTATACTCTTATTATTTCTATCAGGTAAAACGGGTTCCTACGCAGGCGGTTCTCTTGTTTTTTTTTTTTTTTCTTCGGGCTTAGTAGGCTTTTCACAAGGTCATACTTGTACGGATCTTCATGTAGACACGATATTTGATGGTTTTCTTTTCTCTGAACTTGGCTGTGAATAAAACAGGTGCTCAATAATATATGTGGAATATATTGTCATGTCCTTCCCGTCCGTTTTCTTATGTAGTTGACGGCAGAAGCAGAATTTTAAACTACATTGCTATACTCTACTTGGTCTGGTTGAAGTGTTAAATCTTAGCTATAATTAATTTATCATAAAGAAACTGACTGTTCCTAAAATGTCAGGGTTTATTGTATTTGTGTGTTCATTCTTGAAGCTGGATTCGGTGCAATCTTCAAACCTCATAATGTGAATATTTTCAAGAATAAAAGCAACACAAGAAAACACAAAACCGCAACCAGACCTAGCAACAATGATGGAAATGAACCAAAATTTACTTCATTATGTTTATAAAACCTGTCTACAATATTCGAACCTATAAAAAACAGAAAGAAAAACACTAAACGCCAAAAACGCGGCTTGTCCCATTTCACGCCCGCGATTTCTTAGCGCAATCCCTCTTCCGGGGCTTGCGGCAAACGTCCCTCCCGACGCAATCGGCCAGCTCCGTCCGGGGCATGATGAGAGGTTCCGTCTTGGCTCTGTTTTTGTGCGCTGCTCGTACGCGTAGGCTAGGCCGAGGAGCTTTTCCTCGCTGAAGCGGGGGCCGAGGAAGGACAAGCCCAGACTTGTTCGTGGGGAAAAAAGCACGAGGTGTTAGCATCTTCTGGGGAAACTTGGGAAACATAAGAAAAGGGGTGGCACAAAAACTTACGGAACGTTGGGCCCGTACCAGACTAAACCCCTCCTCCCCTCGCCCGCGTCGCCTTCTTCACCCTCGGGCCAGAAGCCCATGGGCACGGTGACGAGGGCGCGGCCGCCATGGCCGCCCATCCGCTGGCCAGAGCCGTCGGCAGGATCAGGGCATCGAGATCATCCTGTTCGAGCGCGGCGAGGAGAAAATCGCGCCCGAGGCCGCGCAGGGCGTCCAAGTCGTCGAGAAAACGGGGGTCGGTGTTGTCGTAGCCGAGACCCTCGAGGGCGTCGTCCCAGATGGCGGTGTCGCGGTCCGGATACTCCTCGGCGGGGTGGGCGCGGGTGAAGGCGCGCACGTCTTCGAGGAGCGCACGCCGGCGGGGTTCTCGGTGAGCTGGGCGAGGTAGGCGGCGAGGTTGGGGCCAAAGTCGGCGTGGAGGACGCGGGTCTCGGCGTCGTAGTCGACGACGCTGGGGTCCGTGGCGTTGGGGAACGCGGCGGTGACGATGGTGGCGCCGGCGATGCGGAGCACGTCAAAGGCGATGTAGAAGTTGTAGAGCTCGGGGAAATCGGGGTCGGTCCAGCCGAAGCGCTCGAATACGGCGGAGGGGATGCCGAGGCGGGCGCCGGCGAGGGCGTCGGGGTCGAGGGCGGCGAGGTAGTCGGGGATGGCGCCGTCGTCGGGGATGTCCGCGGTGTAGGGGTCGTTGTCGTCGCGGCCGGCCATGGCCTGGAGGAGGTAGGCGGCGTCCTTGACGGTGCGGGCCATGGGGCCGATGGTGTCTTGGTGCTCGCTGATGGGGATCACGAGGTCGCGCGACGTGAGGCCGATGCTGGGCTTGAACCCGACGATGTTGTTGTGGCTGGCCGGGGATACGATGGAACCGTCCGTCTGCGGGGTGCGCGGTTGTTAGTCTTTCCTTTTCCCTCCCCTCGCGCTGCTGTCCGTTCTGTTTCTTGAAGGGGGTGAAAGGGGAGTATAACGAAACGACGGGGGAACTTTGTTCTTACCTCGGTGCCGATGCAGGCCACCGCCAGCCCCAAGTCGGACGCGACGCCGCAGCCGCTCGAGCTACCGCTGGGATCCTGATTCGCGATATACGCGCCCAAGACTTGCCCACCATGCGCGGACCACCCGTTGGAGCTGTTACCAGAGCGGAAGTTGGCCCATTGGCTGAGGTTGGCCTTGCCGAGCAGCACGGCGCCGGCCTCGCGGAGCTTTTGGGCGACAAAGGAGTCGCGCGGCACTTTGGCGCCGAGAAGGGCGAACGAGCCGGCTGTGTGAGAAGAGACGCACGTGTGAGCAGATCATTGCGTATATTCTCTGGAGAAGGAAAAGCTGTGTGAGGATTCTTTTTGCCGGGGGGTATATACCTGTATTGTTCATCTTGTCTGCCGTGGCGATATTGTTCTTGAGGAGGATGGGGAGGCCATGAAGGGGACTAGAAAAATAGGCCGGACAGGCAGTCCCTTGGGTTAGTGTGCGCACGCTTTATAGATACACGAGACGTGCGAGAGAGAGAGAGAGAGGTCCTCTTTCTTACCCGCGAACTTGTCCGGCTTCTCGCTCGGCATCCAAGGCGATGGCGATGTCCAGCGCATCAGGGTTGATCTCGGCCACGGCGTGCAGGTCCGAGTTGACCTCTTCAATCCTCGCAATGTACGCCTACTTTCCGTTTAGTACCCGTCATCCTCGCAATTCACATCCAGAACCCGAAGAAGAGGGCCACTCTCCTTCTTGCTTGCACTCACCTTGACGAGGTCGAGACTCGTAAAGAGCTTATCCTCGAGGCCCTGCGCCAATTCATCAATCGTCGCATCCCGAAGACCGGGAAACTCGGGCGCGTCTACATCTACACATTCTACTCAGTCTTGGGCCCCTTCTCACAGTCTCATTTTTATCGTTGAAAAGATGACAGCAGAGAGCTTTTCGCCCCTCGCGTAAAAAGGGGCTTCTTCTTCCTTACCGGCCGCTCTCTCGAGAGGGAATTGTACGGGGAGGGGCCGCGCGCCTTGGCCGACTGCCGGTTCGGAAAGGCTCGTGAGGACAATCGCCGCCGAAAGACAGGCACGGCGAAATGACACCATTGTGGGTTGGGGAGAGTATGTTTGACCGCCGTCGTCGTTGGGTGGTATCGTACCGGGGATGGGATCAAGCCACGCCGCACGCAGATCCCGGAAAAGGCGGGGGAAAACGAGACGAGGGCAACAGGGCAAATTGGGGCGCGTGAGAAGTTGGAAAAAGAAAAGAAAGAAAAAGGCGATGAGAGGCTCGGCGCGAATGTTGACAGTCGGTCAGACACGTCCTTGACACTTGCGTGTTTCTCTCTCAGAATCTCCGTTTCCGACCTTGATCGGACGAGTCAGTTGGCTAAAACAGGTCGCATATTCTTTTTTTTTTTTGCTCGAATCCCTCGGGGGTAAAGAGAACCAGCCATTGGACCATCTCTTGCTATGGAACGAGCGTGGGCTGCCCTTTTTGCGCGTCATTTGTAAATTGGCGATATAGATTAGATGTGCATATGATGTTCATATCATCATTATTATTATTGAGGCTGGCAGTTCTAACACGCTGCTGTAGGAGTGAAATCAAAGATCAAAGGCCGATATGCTAATCCTGAAAGCATGTACGATAATTATACTGCTCTGAGCTCCCCCGGTGTCGCCCAAAGACATCGTCGTCCCCCAATCCATCATCTCTGAACGATTCTATTCTTCTTCCAAATTCATTTTTCCTGCTTTCACGTTGGCCCCTCACGAAAGCGAGGGAAGAGGCAGAAATGGGTTCCCCCTTTCCGCTCGACTGGCCGGCGCCCCGGCAAAAAGGGTTAATCATAGAAAAGTCGAGCCGGGAAACTACAGTCCGTTCGAGGCGGGGTAGGCAAGGGACATCTATATCCAGCTTTAAACGACGAGCGAAACACCTGATAAGATGAAAAAAGTAAAAGGGTTTGCGTGGGAGTCGACAAACCGCCCAGTGTTACAGGGTTACCGCATCATGGTACCGGCCAGGACCTTGGCCTCGTCCAAGACACGCGTATGCCGCTCCTTTCCTGGGTCATAGGGAGAAAAGTTGTCCTGGATCTGGTTGAGCCAGGTCTTGACTCGATCGGCGACAATAATGTTTCCCACTACACAATCACCGACCACACGTCAGCCTTTTGCCCATGGCCCATTCTACACCTCACAAGAGGATCGGGGGCGGGAAGAAGAACTAGAAGAACCCAAAAAAAAAAAAAAAAAACTTACTCTCTCGCGTGCAAAAGGCGTGGACGACCTTGCCATCCTGCTCCACGACAACCTCGGTCCGCCCCTTTTGTGATCCGGCCCTTCCCTCGTCGCGTGCCTCTGGAGCTTGCGGACAAACTCGTCCCTGACGTCGTCCGCAACCCAGTGGTCCCGCTTCGCAAAGAAGAACATGAACTTGGGCAACCTGTGCCTATGCTCCTCGGCATCGCGAAACACCTCCCACAGCTCCTCGTCCCACCTGTCCTCGGAAATAACATCCATCTCGTCGCGGCCCATGTGCAACCCTTGCCAAATACCGTCGCGGCTCTTGAGGAACTCGACAGTGACGCGCGCCGCCTCGGGCGAGAAGCCCATGAGCGCGCGGCAGAGGAAGCGTAGCACGGGCCTTGGCCAGGGCGTCACCAGGGCTTTAGCCACCCGGTGAGCATTGTCGGCGAGGACGGGTCGGTCGCTGAGGGCCTTGAGCCGGCGGCCGCTGGGCGACTTGGCAATATGGGTGACGGTGGGGAAAAGCAGGATGCCGTGGTGCAGGCGGAGGTGCGGCGCCGACGACGGATCGTGGTGGTGGCGGTGGAAGATCTCGAGCGTAATGTACGACCCGACCGAGTGGCCAATGACGACGACAAAGTCGTAGGGCCGCCCGTTTTCCTCGGGTCGCGCCGATTCCTCGATCCTCTGCTCGGCGACGCCCGCGTACGCTCGGCAAATCTGCTCCTCGAGCCCGTACGGCGGCGAGGTGCTCGTGAAGGGGCGTGGTCGTCGTCGTGGAAGCCGTGCAGGCTCCGGCCAAAGATGTCGAAGGCGACGGCCGCCTGCGACCGGTCGAGGAGCACCCTGAGGAACTTGAGGAAGTCGCGGTAGTACTCGATGAGGCCCGGGTTCCCGGGATAAAGTACACCAGTGCGTGGGCCCCCGGCTTGTGGGCTGGCCGCGTGGCCGGGATGAAGATGGTGTGGTTTGAGCTCATGGCGTGTGGTCGACCTGGTTCCCTCGCGCGATTCTGGAGAAGACAAGTTGCCCTCCTCCGATCGAGCCGAGATGATGGGAGCGCCTACTGCCTGAGAATGCCTTCACCTTGGATGAAGTGGTGGGGATGCAATCACTCGATCTGTTCCATTGACCTCTTGGGATTTTCCTAAGGTCAAAAGGCCACAGCACCAAGTTTCTCCCCGCACCTCTGCGCTTGGCGGGTCGATGACGCCAAGGCTAATGGAAAGAAGGATATAGACAGGGGGAAGGGATAGGAATGGTATATCTGTATAGATTGATAAAAATAAAAGATACGACGACAATAAAAAAGTGGCGAGAACGAGGAACAGGAGGATCAAGTGGAAGAAACAAGGGATAAGGGATGCTCGTAGAAAAGTGTCAATGGGCCCGCGGTTGCCTTTCCCCTCGCGTCTCGAGCAAAAGCGAGGCTGTTCTGGCCAAGTAAGTGAGACGCCATGCGACGAATACGGCAGCCGCATTGGGGCGTCCACTGCGAATTGGCTTTTTTCCTAGCGCAAGGCTCACCCGCCAAGTTTCAACCGAGTCCACTGAAAATGCCAGCACCGGGGTTATCGCAGTAACCAGAAATTGCCCCGCCATGTCCGTCCCACCTTCCCTCTCGACCCCACCATGGAACGAAGCGAAACCATCGTCAAGGGTCCAAAGGGGGAGAGGCGGCTCTTTCTCTCTCCCGTTGCGCGATTGCGGTGCTTCATTGAGTCAGTTCGGCCTTTTCCCACCCTTCTCCTCTCACTTTTTGCGTTTTCTTGTTCCTTTGCGCAATAAAACTCCCTCTCGGGTTCCATCTCTCTTCGCAACCTCGCTTTGCGCCAGTGGGAGGCTTTTTTACTTGAGCAGCGTCTTCCTCGCCGGATTCAACTTTTGTTCTTTTTCTTTTCCTTTTTTCCCCTCCTGAAGCTGTCGCGCGCAAACTGCCCCGCCATCACCGCCCAGCATGACCTTTGACGTTGAAAAGAGTAAGTGCGCTATTTTTTAATTATAGGCTGCAACGCCCAATGGACCACGCAGGTTTGCCTCACTGGAATTGAAGACGCTAAACATAAATCTCCTCCTTTTTGCAGACGGCTATTCCACCGGCGACAAGACATCTTTCGCCTGGTCCAGCGCCCGGCAGCGATGGCCCGTCATCATCGTGAGTACACGCGCTTGCACCTCCGCCTCGTCGCCCTTTTCTCTCGCCCCACCCCTTTCCTCTCTACCCGCTCCACCGCATGCTCATGCTAACCGCGAGACCTAGACCACTGCCATTGACGACGTCTACCGCACCGTGCACGCCGAGACCGATCCCGAGGTCGTCAAGGAGGGCAAGCAGATCCTCGAGTCTCTCGCCAACCTCAAGTACCAGGTCCAGCATGACCGCGCCCTCACGTACGTCTCCTTATAAGTGGCGCCAACTTACACACCATTCCCTACACCCTATTTCTGCCTAGGCATTGGCTCCTCTTCGCCCTTTTTCTTCCTCAGCGCTTTCCATCTCTTTGCTAACTTGTTTTGGCCTTCATAAACAGCCCAATTCCCGACGATGGATACCCCGACGTCGCCCTCTACAACGAGGAGCTCGCCAAGCTCAGCCCCGCGACCTGGCTCAACGTCCCCTGGCTCTACTCCGAGTGCCATCTCTACAGGCAAGTCTCATCCCCCTCGGACGACTTTTCTTCGACCTTACTCCTCCGCACTCTCGTTCCCTCCTCTCAAACCCATCACGGCCTTGTTTTTCTTTTGTCCTCCCTCCGGGCTAACCAACCCCGACACGCCGCTCCAGACTCATAAGCACATTCTTCACCCAAACCCAGCACTGGAAGACGTACGACCTCTTCCGCCGCCAAAAATCAGCACCTTCCGCTCCTCCCGCGCCGCCGTCCTCGAGCTCGCCTCCCGCTACCGCACCCTCGTCGGCGAGATCCGCGCCGGCGGCACAATCTCCGACGACGCCGAGCGCCTCATGTTCACCGAAATGCTCGAAGTCTGCCTGTGGGGCAACGCCACCGACCTCTCCCTCCTCACCACCCTCACCTACGACGACATCCAAAAGCTCCAAGGGTCCGAGGCCCGCAAGGCCGCCGAGAACAACATCCTCGCCAACGACACCGCCGCCGCCTTCGCCGTGCTGCGACGCGCCCGCGACGAGGGCAAGGCCGAGCGCAGGGTCGACATCGTGCTCGACAACTCGGGCTTCGAGCTCTACGTCGACCTCATCCTCGCCGGCTACCTCCTCTCCTCCGGCCTCGCCACCCACGTCGTCCTCCACCCCAAGTCCATCCCCTGGTTCGTCTCCGACGTTCTTCCCGGCGACTTTGCCCACCTCATCGGCTCCCTCGCCAACCCCAAGCCCTTTTACGAGACCCCTCCGACGACGAGACCCTCCAGAACAAGACCCCGCCCCGCTCGCCGACGCCGATGCCGAGAACCTCGCCTTCCTCTTTGAGCAGTGGAGTGGCTTCCACGCCGAGGGACAGGTCATCCTGCGCCCGAACCGCTTCTGGACGCACGGCGGCAGCTTTTGGAGGCTCCCTACCGAGGCTCCCGAGCTGCTCGAGGATCTCAAGGCGAGCGAGCTCGTCATTTTCAAGGGTGATCTAAACTACCGAAAGCTCACGGCAGATGTAAGTATCTACTACAAAAACAACACTCCTCTTTCCTCTCTCTCTCTCTTGGGTCACGCCATCCAACCCTGGTGCATCATCTTTCCTAAACCGAGACTGACTCGTTTCCCCATCACAGGCTGCCTGGGACCCCACAACTCCTTCGTCACCGCCCTAGGTCCCCTCGGCCCCGGCGCTGGTGTCAACATCCTCTCCCTGCGCACATGCAAGGCCGACGTCGTCGTCGGCCTCGAACCCGGCGTTGACGAGGAGCTCCGGGCCAAGGAGGGCGGCGGCGGCGATTCTGGCGAGCGGCGGTGGGCGTGGAACGGCAAGTGGGCCGTCATCTCCTTTTCTCCTAGGAACTGAGCGGAACTGGGCGTAATTTCGCGGACGCGATTCATAGTCGCTTTTGGCTGGTAGGCTACGTTTTTGGTTTACGTATATTCTTATTGGCCTTTGGCGGAATGGTTAGAACAGGAAGGGTGGATTAGATTCGTTCGCAGCAGTGGTGACGAACGTACCAACACAATTGAAGCAGTGAAATTCGTCATGTGTCCTCGGTCACAAAAGAGGGCAAAAGGAGGACTGAAGAAGAAGAAAAGTTGATTATAATGCTAGATAAATCCCGTATATATGCTCAAACAAACGCCGGTACCGTGCCATAGTCTCGTGAACCCACTCGTGCTTCAATCAGAAAAAGAAAAGAAAAAAAGAAAAGGTAGTGTAAAACGGGAAGACCGTCCCGATCAGATATTCCCCTCATCCCACCCAACCCACCGCCGAATCACATCATCCACCGCCCTCACAGACTCCCTCGAAACCTCCACCTCGAACCACTCCCTATGCTCCCGCCCGCACGCATCACACGTGCCAAGCTCCGCCCGCAAACCCATGCCCAACAACTCCAGGTGAATCAGCCTCTCCACCTTTTTCACGTGCGGCGTCATCATGCTCGTCCCGATCGTGCCCGCCATCCCGCGCTCCGCGCCCGACACGTACGGGTAGAAGCGGAGCACCTCGACGTCGTACCCGCACTGCCGCGACCACTCGTTCATCCGCCGCTGCACGTTGGACGTCCGCCCAATCTTGAGCAGCATTGTCTTCTTCTTCTTCTTGTTCTTCTTCTTGCTCTTTTTCTTTCGCCGCCTCCGCCCTCCTGCGCATCGTAGTACGAGTCGATGACGTCGGCCGCCGGCCGTCTCGCCTGCGTCGTCCTCGCCGCCGCGGTATTCGGCGACAGAAACTCCCGCGCCGCCTCGACGGGGGCGTCTTGGTATTCGTCGGCGTCATCCAAAACATGTAGATATACCCGGGCTCCTCCGACTCCACAAACGGCCGCTCCAACTCAATCTTCAGACTCGTCGCCGCTTCCGGCGCCAGCGACGCCGGGATCAGCGAAAGCGAGTTGGGACCACCCGGCTTCTGCCGCCGGTTCGCACCGGACGATGGCCGAGGGCGCCCGGCCTCCGGTCCGAACAACCTCGCCGGCGCGCTCGTCGCACGCCCCGCAGCAGCATCCGCGGGCCGCACTTTTGTCGGCGTCAAAGGTACCGGCCCCGCCCCCGCCTTTGATTCAGTCTCTGCACCGGCCTCGGTTGCGGTCGGACAGGCCGCGCCTGCGTCTCCCCTTTTCCCCGTCGGCACGTCGAAGCAAAAGCAGCACAGAAGCAATTTCCCCAACCCTCCGCTGTTGCTGCTGCTCCTACCCCCGCTCGTCTTCTTACCGCCCTTCCTCGGACCCCCGCCCGACTGCCCCTGAACCATCTTGCCCTTCTCCCTCAACTCAGAGTCCACCTTCAAGATCCCCAGGCGCTCTACCAGCGTATCGATGCTCGACCGGTACACGAGCTCCGAGCCCGCGCCACCACTCCGCCCGCTCTTCTTCGACATGGGCGACGGACTGGGCGAGTGGTGCGCCGCTTGGTCCTTGTGCTGCCAGCAATACAACTCTTGCCGGTCAAGGCGTCCCTGCTGCTGTTTTTGCTGCCGCGAGCGTTTCGAGGCGGGAGACCCCGAGGGTGTGCCCGACGGGGTGGCCGCCAGCGAACGGCGGCACGGGTTGCCGTTGGAGGTGATGCCGTGGCATGTCGTGTCGGCGTCGAGGAGTCGGCGCGGGACAAGTAAGATTCTGGTGTGTTGGGTATGAACGGCATGGCGTGCGTGACCTCACGCTCCTAGTTTCGCTTCCTTTTCTCGTCTGCACTTCTATGGCTCCCTGGGCGTGGTCGGTGAAGCGGTGGAGAAGCGCGTGCGTGATCGCAAGGTTGGGAGAAAGAAAAGAAGACTAAACTGACGCAAAGAAAATAAAAATACTAGTGGAAAGAATCAAAAGAGGAGAGGTGTGAACAAGTTTAAGTGAATTAGATGGAGGCTCTCTCTATAATAAGCGCCCCCGCGTGAGTGTGTGCACGCTGCACGCTGCACACACCCTGATAGCTGCTGCGCTGTCCTGTGCAGTCTCCTGTGAGTTCAAGTCCTCTCGTTTCAAATCGAGCTAGTCAAGCCAAAATCCAACAAGCATCGACTCTGAAAACAAGGTCGCGTGCAAGGTGGCTCGTCCAAGACAGCACCCGCCCACTCACTGAGCGGTTCCTCGAGGGCCGCAGGCCTCCTGCACCTCCTCCTGCGACTCCTTCTGCTTCACGCCCCCTCCCATACTTTTTTCAATCTCTCCCAGTGGAAAAGAAAAGCTCGCTGCCTAGCAGCCTCCTAACCGCCCCGCAAAAGCCCTGTTTCCTTCAGGCTTCGCCATGTCGCCCGACCAAAAGCCCGTCGCTCTGCTCTGGGGTGGGTTATTCGGGGGCTGGGGTGAGGGCGCAGCCAGTGATTCAGGTCCAGATCCGAGGCGTGGAAAACGGGTATATCCGTTAGGCTAGCTAACACCGTTTTTCTTTTCTACTTGATTGATTTGAGCTTGGGGAAAAAAGAGTTATTGGCCAATTAGATAAAGGCGGAACGAAGAGCCGTCCGTTTTCCCCAATCAACAAGCCAAGCGTTTTTCTGCCGAGCATCCGACGGTGGCCCTTTTCATTGGCTTACAACGCCTGACGCTCAAACCAAAGCTACGATCGATGAATAAAACGGTGGCTGCGCCTAGCACGGTTTTCATATTGGGCTGCTCTCTCCTTGGATCAATCATGAGCCAATGTTGGGTAATGTGCATCCGAGGGGAGCTGAGCATTCACCCTGAGGCGGAGGATACGATAGGAAGATGATCAACTCTAAACTCCTTGGGCCCAATATCACAGCGCCTTAGGCTTACCTAGCTCACGTTGTCACTCTTTAACAAGTCCCGAGGGCATGATCACACAGGTGGATTTCAATACCAATGACCCGACTTAGTGGAATGGTGCGAGTTGTCATGGTCGTCTAGGCATCTAGGAGTAGACGCACCGTCAAACGGGTTGAGAGACAACGTAGCCCCGACCAAAATAGCAGAGTGCTGGCGGCGAGGTCCAAGAAAGAGGGAGAGGGGAGAGAGACATCACAGACATGGCATGCAAATGGTTGGAGAGAAGCAGGATAACTGATAAGGTAATAATCATTTAGAAAAACAGGGTACAGAAACGAAGGGATAGATCCTAAACTCCGGGTTAACCCTCGCATCAAAGGAGGAGGCCGAGGCGAGGAGTATTTGAGCAGGCAAAGGAAGGGCTAGGCCATGCCTGTCAAGGGGAAGGAAGAAAAAAGATATAGAGTGATTGTGTATGGGTGAGATAGGGAAAAGCGACGGAGAGATATAGAGGGAGAGCGAGAGTGAAAGGGTGAGAGAAGAGAGAGAGAGAGAGACAGAGGATAAAGGGAGGAGAGCAGGACAAGGTGTTCGGAGGAGCAAAGCAGAGAGATCCAAAAAGAAAATCCCAACAACGCAGGGCAGTGCCCGATGGAAGGGGAAGGGCCGGCGCCGACTCTAAAGAAACGGACCGGAACACGATCCGAGGCTAGGCATGTCCAGGACATCCAAGAGCATCCCATAGCCCAGAGTCGAGCACGCCCGTCGTTTCCTTCCCCATCCGTGGGGATACACATGCGAATATGCATCCCTAGTAGTCTCCTCAAGCACACCGGACCGCATCCCTCATATGTCTGGTGGATCAACCTGTGCTGATCTCCCATCCTCCCAAACATCCTCCTCCCCCTTGCCTAGTTTGGCCTCTTTCCCGCCCTCTCCCTCTTCACCTCCTCCCCGCCTTGCACCCGAGAGTTGACTTCAGCACGTCCCCAGCCCTGCTCAATAACGACAAACCAACACTCCGCTATCGCCACCACTCTGGCGAAATATGACACGCACACCAGCCGGTACATGTAAAACAAAAACACACACATAGAGGAAGAAAAAAAGAATAAAACAAGGGGAAGAACAAAATCAAAGGGATACCACGCAAAGGGACACGTAACGTAGAACCCGACCGTCGACAATGCAAACCGAACCGATTTCCGATTCGCCTTTCCCTTACTTTGCCTTCCTTTGCACGGAACCCGTACCGCCCCTCCTCTTCCTCACCATCTCTTTCCACACTCCCGCCGCCGCCCGTCTGCGTCTATACGAGAGAAGAAAAGAAAAAGTTAACTCCGAGCCGCTATAGCAGCAGTTGCTGGGGGCAAAAAAGAAAGAGTTCAGTCTCCAACAACGCAACGCAGCCGCACCTAGCGATTGCGGTCGTTAGACCCAGACCCGAAATCCGGCTCCGTGAGAACCTTCTTGTCCTTGCGCGCCTTGATGACAAAGTCTGCCATGATTTGGATGTGGTCGGCCGGGAAGTGGTAGTTGGGGAACGACGGAACCCTCTTGAGGTAATCAGCGTCCGGAGGCCCCAGTAGCTCCACCACCTCAAGCGTGTTGGTCGAGTACCAGAGGTAATCGATCACGTCCGCGAACCCGGGGGTATAGTTGGTGAAGGGCAGCTGGTCGGGGGTGCCCTTGATGTGAGCGTACGCATCTCGAAGACTGAAGGGGTGCTCGATGCCGTCCCGCGTGAAACTGCCGTACTGGTAGTTGCTGATCTCGAGGTGGTCCGGGGTACCCGGCCAAGGTTCATGAGCTCGTATACCGAGCTATCCTCTTGCGAGTTGAAGTCGCCGCAGACGAGCAGTGGGATATCGGTATTGTTTCGGTATTCCTGGCTAGGGGCCGGTTCAAGAACAGGCGCCTCGGGAGCTTCGTCGCCCGTCGCCCGGCTGGCCGAAAAGGTGAGGAGCTTCTTATCCTTAACAGCCGGCCACCTCGCGTACTTTTCGGCCATCTTGGTAACATGTTCCATCAAGATACCCGTCTGGATCGTCTTGACATCAGCAAGCGCCGAGTCCCACGTTAGGTGGACGTTGACTAGGACCATTCTCGCGCCCGTCAGACGGCTTTCGAAAAAGCAAATGACGGCAATGTTGTCCCTGGGCATCACTCGGTTGAACACGTCGTGCTGGTTCTTCATGTCCGGTCGGTTGATCGCAATGCTCGCGAACTCAATGACTTGCTTATCGAGCAGCACATACTTGCTGGCCTTCCAAAAGACTGCGCATCCATCCACGCCTAACGCATCCTTCTCTGACATGGTCTTGGCACGCGTCTTGGGCCACTGCACACCCTTGTAATCGTACTTGGCCAGCTCGGGGGAGAAGTCCTCCTTGAACGCTTCTGTCGAGATCTCTTGCAGGCACAAAAGTCGGCATCGCGATACCGGAGCTCTTGGAAAATGCAATCCTTTCGGTACTCCCAGTCGAGCGCTGCCGTAGGCGTATATCCATACGTCTGCGGGGTAGCATATTTGTCGCACAAAACGTTCCACGTAAGGACCTTGAATCGTTCGAGGTTCGACGAAACGTCTTCTTGGATCGTGATCATGTCGCGTACCGGAGGTGGATCGGGAACTAGAGACAAGTAGGGGAGGGTTAGGTTAGCGCAATGGTCCGTTTCATTGACTACTTGTGCCGAGAACAGACGACTTACCTGGAGCGCCTTCGCGGAGGTAGGTTATAAGGCTCTTGGTTCCCTTTTCCACAATTTCTAGGCGAAGTTCCGGGGCCAGCTGCACGTTTCCCTCGATACCAATCATCTCCAGCATGTGCAATGAACCAAGCTCGAAGGGAAGGGTCCTAAGCCGATTGTTGAAGAGGAGTAGGGTTCGCAGGTACGTGCACATTCCGAGCTCGGGCGGGAGGTCGGTGATTTCGTTGTAGGACGCGTCGAGGTGAGTGAGCTGTCGAAGACGGCCAATGGCGGGCGGAAGGCGTGTGAGCTTGTTGGAGGCAATGTATAGTTCGCGCAAGAATTCGTAGGCGAATAGCGAGGGAGAGAGGTTACGAAGACCCTGTCCACTAAGATCGAGGTTGTGCCAGTCCTGACGCTTCACCACCTTTTCCATGGCCATGGGGCGCCGCATATCTTCTGTATCGGCCTGGCCCGAAGCTCCGTTGGCGGGGGCGGGTAAGCCGATGCCCTTATTCTCCGACGCCTTCAACCTGGCGTAGTAATGCGGCTGGTGCTGATCGGTCATAGCGATGTGGGCACGCTCTGCATCTTTAGACAGGCGGAGTTGCTTGGCCCAGTGCTCATTGATGACCTGGCCCTGGCCGGCACTGGGCGTGTTCGAGTGCCCATTCTGGAGGCTGTTTGTGCTGTAGGGGTTTGGGTTAGAGAGCGCCGAGTAGTTGGATGGGTGGCCGAGGTTCGGGTTGCCGCCGTTGTGCGCGTTTGGGTCCTGCTGGACACCCTGGTGGTGTTGGCCGGGACCCCGTGTTGGTGCGATCCATGAGGCTGCTGGAAGTTGTAAAGCAGCTGCTGTAGGCCTCGGCTCGACTGGCCGTTGAGGGTTGCCCCCTGCCGGCCTGCGCGCCAAACATGTCCTCTCAGTAGCGAGCAAAGATAAGCTCGGCCTCGATATGGGGCGTAGATGTGCGCGTGGCGAGGTGAATGAACGACGGGTCGGGGTCAAGGGGGTGGCCTCAGACGAGAAAGACCAAATGCTTGCCAAGAGGTGCGCTTGTAGATATCGGATTGATCGATAATCGTAATGGTTTGAAATAAGAGTTGATGGCGGCGACAGTTTCTATTGACGGGGGCGGGTCGCCGGGAACCATGGGATATCTACCAGAGGAACGGGTAGATGAAGGGCTCCACGATCGATGGGTGTTGCGAGTTGGTAAGGGTAAATGGAGCGCGGTGAGAATGAGGGCGTGGTTTTGGTGGTAAAACTGGGTGGTAGGTTGAAAATTGGCATGGGGTGTCGCGGTGTGCCGCTTTGATACATGAAGCTTCTATGGGAGGTATCAAATAACGGATGTCCCAACGGAAGATGCAGAGTCGAATGGGCTAGGGCCTTATTCAGAGGTGATGATCAAAACGCGGGTTTCGGGCTTGGGCTGGTCAGAATCCATGTAGAGCTAACGAAAGGGTTCAGATCTAGGCGAAGCAGCGTCGTAGGTTCGTCGGTTATCTCGCGGAGGGGATCGATATGTCGAACTTTTTTCCTGGGGACTATCTCGACATGGCAACCGCAAGGCTGGAAATGTGCGGGAGGGGGAACACAATGCCTAGAGAGCAGAGCCTAACGGGTTAGAATAGGTCAATGGAAGAGGTAGTAGCTATATCGAGAGGGCGAATTGGATGGCCTGGATGGTGGAAAAGCTTGCAGCTAGCGCAGTGCCCGGGTTGAAGGTTGAGAGAGAAATCGAGGTAGGGTGGCAAGACTCACCAGGACTGGGGGATGCCAGCAAAGAGTGGTTGGGGACAAGGGGGTTAAAAAAACAATGTGCCGGTCAAGGGCGGAAAAAAATTGAACAAACGAATGGTCCGTAGTGGTCGCTATAAGATTTGGAGCTTCGAATCAATACTGGAGTGCACCGTAGTTGTGTTGGCGATGGGATAAACACAGGGCAAAGAATGAAGTGTTTCGAAGTTGGTCGTCGTGGGCGGGTGTTTTCCCTTTGGGAGGAGGTTGACGAAAGGCGGGCGGCTGGGCTGGAGAAACTGGCGTCAGGGATTACAGGGCAGGCCCGTACCTGGTGCTTGGTCTTTGCTGGCTTCAATGTGCGTCGCACCTGCGCTTCCTCTCTTTCGTCCACAGTCAAGAGTCGTCAGGCGCGTGTGGGGCCCCCAAGCTTGACGGGTCAACGGTTGCACGCATTGGCACTGTCAGCCTGATCATGTGATCCGCTAGAGCCAAGACGGAGTCAACATTGAACTTTGGAACTGTTCGAATACATTGTCACAATAATACCTGGAGTCCGCACGAGGTTAAGCCGCGGAGAGAGACTCCCATCTCACCTTACATTGGCTAGGCGGTGCGCACCAGGTCTTGGATATGATCAGGCTCAAACCTGCAGCTTTTCGATTTTGATTTTTCCGACGATATCGCGACTACAAGATCCAGCATTGACTCTTGGCGCCAGGTGCCGTCGGTCCTTTCTCCCAATGGGCTCGAATGAATCCGAGCGGATGGAGCAGCTGTCTCAGTGACCCTCGAAATCCCTGAAAGACAAACTTGACTGTTTACTATTATCTGGGTTCCTCCTCCTTCAAAATTTACCTAACTGATGTGCAACCCTGCGCGATGCAGTGAACAATGGGATTGTGGAAAATGGCATTCAACGCAATGGGGAAACCCGAATGGCCAAGCTCAAAATCAAAATACCATCCATCTCGCCCATCCCCGACTGGACGAGCTCCCAGTCAAGTCAAGAGATTTGCTGTCCTGCATTTTGCTTTGCCTGTTGGAAGTCTCAGATCCCTTATGCCCTGTGACCATGTCTCTTGTGGTCCTGCAAAGGTCATCACCTTTTGTTGCTTTGTTATTATTATTTTTTTCCCTTCCATCGCCTACAACTATATGACACCATATCTGCCATGGATGAAAACAACGAGAGGGCTTCAATGTAGCACCAATGCTGCATGTCCGCCCGCACGCAAGCTCAAGTGCCGTTGCGAGCCAGTCTCATTGGCAGGGAAGCTAAGCTTCATTGGCCGCCCAAACCTCACCAAGCTCTTGCATCAATTCAGTCATAGGATCAATTACCTCGGTACAAGTGTACCACTCTGAACGCAGTTGTCCCCTGAATAATAAGAAACGCACCAAACAATGTCGAAAGGAAAAGGAGCCAAAAACTAAGTCGTGATACGCTTTATATCCGATGAGGAAGGGGTCAATTAGTGTTCGTCTGCGGTCTTCGTCCATAAATGTCGATCTTATATATCCAGCTGTTGAGGACCGGCCCCCGTCACTCTACGCGGCGACACGGCTGACGGGTTTGATAAGACTAAAGCCCGGTTGTCCACCATGCCCCGTGATCAGCCCAAGATTGCCTACGCTGCCTTCCTGGATGCACAAAGGTGAGAAGGAATCTCCATGATAATCTTGTCCGCGTGACCTGCACTTATATCGCTTGCAGTGCTCTCGGGGTCTTGGGAGTCACGGTACGGCCGGCTGGCCGCGGCACACATCATTCCCAAGTTTGCGTACAACTTTACCGAGGTAGATGCCTGATAATGAGGCAAAGGACGGTGGGTCGATCAATGGACTGACACTGGCCACTATTACAAATGTTTATGCGCAAGAATTACTTTATACGTTCTGCCTCGGGCCTGCCCCGTACTGATGGCGATACTTGGAGGGCCCGCGTGTTACGGCTGGCCAATGTGTTGGAGAGGCGTCGGGTTCCCTCGAAGCGACACGCATTTACGTACCACGCTTTGGGGCAGCAGATCCTAGCCTCGGAATGCATCGGTGGAGGAAGTGAAAGCGCGAGAGCGGAAGAGGACGAGAGTTTCTGGGTTGGGTGACTCAATTGACTAGCCATTTCCCGATTGTCGAAAACTTGACCAAAAGCTCCACCGCTTTTCCACTTCCACCTCGTCGTGACTGTGTGGATTATTCATGCATCAGCCAGCTCAGCACACCATCACCTTTTGAGATAGATTGCCTTAACACCGCACATATATACACCACATAGCCATTGAGGAGACGGTGGTGGAGAATGTTAATTACACGTTCAATAAGACAGACAAGAATCGTGACCGAGTGCACTCGAGACCCTTAGGCCACTGGCTCCCTTTCCCTGACAAACCCCCTTGCTCTCCAATCCTTCTGTTTCGATTGGTGACTACCCGTCGATGTGTGCCTCTGTGGCTCTGCGATTCCGTCATCACACTATCGAACGGCGGTGAAAAACGGCTTTGACACCCACTCCGAAAACTCGAGGCTCAGAATTCGCACACCCTTTCAACTGAGCTAGCACCGCACATCACAAAACGTCGAGGACCTTTGGTTGGCTTTGCTATTGTGGTGATTGCGGCTTTTGAGCCTTAAGACTGTTCATCCATATCTTGCACCGGACTCTTCGTAAAGCTGGCCCCCTTGGAGGAGGCAAGTGGGCAAGTCAGGTGCGCTCCGTGAATGTTAACCCCGAATTGGGCTAAGAGGCCGACATATCTGCCGCCCGACAAGTTAATTGACTGACGAAGCTGCAAAGCCGGGCTGGGCGACAGGGACTAGGGTTCGGCGACTGGCTGTCGTGCCGTCCATCCTCCTCAAGCCCGCCAGCCAAACCTCCTCACATCTCACTCTTTTGGCTGCCATTTATGGATCCATAGATGGATGGATGCATTTGTAGAGTGAAGACAGACGTCAATAAACCAATTTTACACCGCAATCCAGCCTTTTCCCGGCCAAGATTGGCTCCTCTATTTTCCTCAAAAGTGTTCTTCCTCTTTCCGTTCCCCACTCCACATACTGCCACCTCACCTAGTCTAATTGTCGGAGTAGAGGGTTGTCTGCTCCGAAGGAGCGCTGAACCGGAGGAATGGACCCCCGCCGGAGGAGATTTCCGCGTGGGCGTAGAAGAGCCTGTGAGAGATTGGGGGAGACCTACGCAAGGGCGGGGTGGAGGGGTCCCCTCACTGGCTGGCGTGGCGGGCAGCCGGGGTAGATCAAAAGGATCAATGATGTGCGCTAAAATAACGGGTTCACTGGCCCAAGTTAAGCCTCAATTTATGGCCCCCAAAAGCCAAGCAGCGCCCAAATAAAAACAGATCGACTACACCACCATCACCCTGCTTGCCTGCCTGTTTCGTGGGCTTCTCGCCCCAATGCCATGCATGAAGACCGGCTAGAGCAGGGGTGGCTCGACAAAACCGAACAACGAACAACGGGAAAGTCGGGACAATGGCGTCCGCCCTGTCTAGCTGGGCCTAGCCTCTGAAGAGGACGTTGGGAGCTGCGCCAACATTTTTAGTCCATGTGGATTTTCGACTAACATTGATCCACCCCGTCCTTCCCAACACGAGGAGAGGGGAAACGCAGAAAGGAAATGCCGCCATGGAAAGGGCATTGATCACGGGATCGTGCTCCGGTAAAAGGTCTACTTGGGGTGGCGTGCGTGCCGTATCAGGAATCAGGTTAGACAGTATTATTGGAGCCTAGAGATGAGGTGACTGGGTTCAATGGTGGTGCGCTTTCGTGAATGTGGGCACTATAAACCATTATATTGCTGGGGAAGACGTACCTCGAGTGCTTCTTCGTGCGTGCACACCTTGTCAAGCTTGTCACGCACTGCAAGGAATTACGAGCAAGGTGCATTTTGTGGGGTAAGGCAGCCTGGCGATACCATTGGGTAAACCGGCAGACATGGGGGAGACGCGGGTGGTGGAAATTGTACAGCGAGCGAGAAATCAAATAACTTTTTCGTCCTTGTCGAAACGAGAAAACGAAGTGCCAAGATGGGATGGGAAAAAAGAAAAAGACGATTTTGTATTACTTGCACTATCTGGTTATTCCCTCCTCTCTCGCCTCCCGACATCTTCCAAGATTGGACGAAGCACGGCTTCGGTACTCACCACATCTGCATACGTTAGCCCCAACCATAATGCTCAAGCGAAGAGGAGTGCTGAATAGGCAAAATGGCATTTCGAAAGCCGGTCCTCGGGGGCGGCATCAAGCTTATCCACTCTCTTCCCCCATTCTCTCCTAATTGAGCCTCTTTGTCCGAGCCCTCTCAGCCAGCCCCGACGTCTTCTTGCCTAACGTTTGCTGTCGTTCGACTCCCCGTTTTGGACACAACATTTGAAAGTCAAGTTCTTGCAATGGATCTATACGCACGCTTCCAGCGTCGTACCCCCTTGGCTATTCAGTAGATATGCCGTAACCAGCACGCGAAGGGGCGGAGTAAGCATAACGAGGTGACGGAAACGGCTAACCCTGGTCTCTCGTCGGTGAATGGATCCATC